CATTAAATATCTTTAAAAACTGCGCTTTTCCTCGTATTAGATAACAAGTGACCTTAAAATTTAGGAAATTGTTCCTTGTTCTTTAATTTTTGAACACGAATTTACATTTCAGAGTTTTGCTAAAAGTAGTGGGAACATTCTGCCTATAGATTTGGACATTTTACTTTTTTTACACACTGAAGCTATGTAGTAGCCTACAGATGTAGGCATAATCGGATGAAGCACAGCATTTCTTGAATCCCCTCAGCCTTGATTTGAATAAAATTCCCCTTTGCTCTTAACTGCAGTCAGTTACCAGCAGTTATCATTGTTGTCTGATATTTCAGTATGTTTGGTGCTTTTGTGTAGGACATTGGCGGGTATTTGAGAGGGAATTTAGCTTAAGCTGGATGAGCTGTATGTTAATGTTGTTCATTAGCGGGCCTGTTATCAGAAAACTCAGCCTAAGGGTCGGGAGGTCATTATGGAAACAATGGGTCAAGCGATGGGGGTCCTCCCAAGCAATTAGGCAAATCTGGTCAGGCCACCCTGCAGGAGCAAACCCCCCTGTGCTGCGTGTGTGTGAGTGCAGGTAAAGGTTAATGAAGTTTCCAGATATGTTTTGGGTTGTCTGAAGCAGGGGATTCAATCTTGTAGATTCAGATGCCCAAATATGATCATCACAGTTATTATGGACCCCCATCCAAACGGTAAAGCAAGACATTGCAGTTAAAATATAATCTAAATAGGTGTAAAATCATGGTGAAAAGGACAGCGCAGTGGCTCAGTGGTTAGCACTGTCACCTCACAGCAAGAAGAGTTTGCTGGTTCGGGTCCCGGCTGGGTCTGTTGACATTTATGTGTGGAGTTTGCATGTTCTCTCCGTGTTTGTGTAGGTTTCCTCTGGGTGCTCCGTTTTCCCCCACAGTTCAAAGACATGCACTATAGTTGAATTGAATAAGCTAAATTGGCACGACTGTATGAGTGTGTGAATGAGTTTATGGGTGTTTCCCAGTATTGGGTTGTGATTAAAAGGGCATCCGCTGCATAAAACATGCTGGAATAGTTAGCAGTTCATTTTGCTGTGACGTATAGAGTCAGATTAGTGTCTAAAGTAATTCACGCAAAATTCATGCGTAGCATAAAACCAAATTCAAGTGTGCAAAATATGTATATATATATATATATTCAAAAAAACGATTCACGTGCACAAAAATAAAAATACATGTTCATTAAATACATTTCACAAATGCAAAACACCATGTACAAATAACACACAGTGTGCAGAAAGTTTTGAATGTTTCAAATTTGCGAGTTTATCCTGAATGAAAATGTGCAAATCCTCCTTCACGTATGACTCCCCCTGGATGTGTGTGTATTTTTGACACTCTCCTGGTAGCAGCAGATGACTCGTACCTTTCAGCCAATCAGCTGAGATCTGTCTTCGATGTGACCCACTCTGCACAGCTTTTGCGCAATCTGCTCAATTTTGCATTTCTGAATTGTATTTTTATTTATATTTTGTGCACGTGAATCTTTTTTGTGAATGTATAAAATATTTTGCGCATTGATTTTGGTTTTATGTGTGTGAATTTGGCTACGCATGTGTACATTAGCCGCGTTTCCACTATCGCGCCTAAAGCGAGCGAGCCAGGGCGAGACAAGGCCAGTGGCGTTTCCACTGTCACTTCCGGGGCCTAATCGGGCCAAAGCGGGGCTTTCTTGGGGCCAGCGGCCGGCCTTTTCGGCCCGCCGAATACCTTGGGCCAAAGAGGGCCAGCCGGGGCTTCGGGGCGGAGTGAAAGGAGAGGCGGGCACAGTTTTCCGATCGCACCCGAGTACATGCGCCAAACAAATAAATAAATAAATAAATAAATAAATAAGGGAAAGAAAACATCTGGAACAAATTATAGGCTGGGGTCTTTTTTGCATATGATCGCCCTTATGTTTCTCTTTTAAATGTAAGGCTGTTGCATAAAATGATCTTTCTTTGCTGCATCTTTGATGTTTCAATAACACATAATAATCTTTACACCATATTAAAGACACAGCTGACAGTAAAGGTTTTCAAGAGGTTTTGTCAAGTTTATTAAGTGTGTTTTTGCGCGTTTAGATGCCTGTGTAATGTGTATGTGTGTGAGACCGAAAAAAGAGCGCTCCATTCATAGCTCTGTTGATGCCGCGAGCGGCTTTTTTCTTTTATTTTTATTGTTTTAATTTATTTTGGTGATAATACACTATATGAATACAACAGTAAGACATTAAACTTTACAAATTTCATGTCCACTTTTGTAGGCTCAAAACAATAGTGTCATATCTAGATAAAATAGCCCTATATTGAAATAATTTAAAGAATTACAAATATCAGATAGGCCTATAAAAAACACATTAAATAAATAAACCAATATAAAACTAACAAAAGCTATAGCTATAACAATTAGGTACTAAATCAAACTGTTTTAAATTTATATTAAACTTTCATTTTTCAAAAGCCTCTTTTAAAAAAAAGATTTTAGATATTTTCTAAAATAAATAAATAAATAAATAAATGAACACCGGAGAATGTTTTAAATATTATTTATAAAGTATTTGGATACGATGAAATTAATCAAATCATGCAAACAGAGCATTTTCGGGGTGAGTGAACGCAGAAACTAGGCGACCTTTTTTTCTGTCTGCAGCTGCGCAGCACTTTTTTGACGGGGAAAACTGCAAGTATAAAATGTGTTCTGTGTCCTCAAACAAGTGTGTATGTTTTTATATAACGTGGTAAAATTAAAAAAGGAAATTTTAAATACATAAAGAGCTTTATTAGTGGCTGCTGAGCGCAACGAATTATAGGCTATATTTTATTACGTGCTGCTCTTATGTGCAGAAACTCTGAACACTTTCCTTTACTTAAGATATAATAAGCAACATCTTTAAATAAAGGGAATCACCTATTAAGTGTCATAAAGCCTATAGGGAAAAAAATCATGTTTCAGTTTTCTCCGGAGCATTGGGATGAATGTTGGACAGATTCTGTCAAGAGGATGTTATAAAATACATTTTATATCAAGTTATTAACGGAGAATTTTATATATGTGGTGTTATATTATGGATGTGTGCGCTCCCTGCGCTCCGGGTCCCTCCGTTGGTGGCAAGACCACTGGATTTCGATGCCAATAGTCGGTCGGCGAGTAAATGAATATGATGAATGAAAACACACAGGCATGTGCGTATAGACATGCGTTGTACTGCTGTATAGTAACGTGTCATTTGTTTGTTTTAGTTGTCCTAATTTTAATAGTTTCGTGATGATGTGCTTTATCTGCATGATTCTCGCTGAAGTGGGCGGTTTGAGTGACGTTTGATTCGGGGGATGTTCTGGGGGCGGGGTTTGCGTGACGCGCTGCGGCTACTAGCCCCACAGTGGAAAGGCGACATGATTTCGGCCTCACTGCTCAACCTCCCGGGCGATTGGCCCGGCCTGGCCCGATAAAAGCCCTGGCTCGCACTGGCCTGATAGTGGAAATGCGGCTATTGTGTCATTTGAGTTAATTACTTTAGATACTAATCTAACTCCATAGTGCAGGCGACCCCTGAAAAATAAGGGTCTAAGGCGAAGAGAAATTAAATAAAATGAATATTGTACAAAATTTGCAGTTTCATTGTCTGTTTTTTTGTTTATAAAATATTTTTAATAATTGACTTAATTTTTTAATAAATCAATTATATTATTTTAATAAGTTGTATTTGTGTTTGTTTATCCCAAAGAATAAAAAAAAAAAATTGTTGAAATTAAAAATGTTTAATCCAATCACATCACTTTCATATTTCTATTTACTAAACTGTTTTGGGGTGTAGTGATTAGCACGTGCACCTCTCAGTAAGAAGGTCGCTGGTTTGAGCTTCGGCTGGGTCAGTTGGCGTTTCTGTGTGGAGTTTGTATGTTCTCCCCGTGGCGTGGCGTTGGTGTGGGTTTCCTCTGGGTGCTCCGGTTTCCCCCACAGCCCAAAGACATGCGGTACAGGTGAATTGATTAGGCTAATTTGTCCATAGTGTATGTGTGGATGTTTCCCAGTGATGGGTTGCGGCTGGAAGGAGATCCGCTGCGTAAAGCATATGCATTTAAGTTTGCGGTTCATTTCACTGTGGCACTTCAGATGATTTTGGAAGGGCACTTTCTATCCAAGTCTAAAAAGGGCATATGCACTGCACAGGTTGAGCCCTATGTGTGCACGTGCCTGGTTACAACTTACCCCAGTATGTGTTACAACCTTAACCACCAAATGACCACTTTGTATTTGTCATCATCTCACAAAATCTGTGATATAGTTCAAAAATTTTTAATTGTTGACATTTTTGTAGGGGACAAATGTCGGTTCTTTGACTAAAAGTTTCAGTCATGTAACTAAAAAAGAAAAATTGTGTTAGTCATTCCTGGTCTCATTCATTCATTCATTCATTCATTCATTCGTTTACTTGTCGGCTTAGTCCCTTTATTAATCCAGGGTCACCACAGCGGAATGAACCGGCAAATTAACCAGCGAGTTTTTATGCAGTAGATGCCCTTCCAGCCACAACCCATCTCTGGGAAATATCCACACAAATTCATACACAACAGACAATTTAGCCTATACCCAATTCACCTGTACCGCACCGGAGCACCTGTAGGAAATCCACACGAACGCATGGAGAACATGCAAACTCCACACAGAAACGCCAACTGAGCCGAGGCTCAAACTAGCGACCCAGCAACCTTCTTGCTGTGAGGCGACAGCACTACCTACTGCACCACTGCTTAACCCCATTCCTGGTCTCCTACAATTATTTCATTTCTTTATCTTGGCTGGGTATGTGATTTTTTTCTCAGTTTTTTCTTAATTTTTCTCACACTAATTAGGAGTACCAATCTCAAGCTTGCTACATTTAACTTTCTTAACCTTATTTGTAAGAAAGAATCAAGCCGAAACAAGCCGTTCAGCAAAGAACAGGCAGGCAAAAGTCAGTGAAATCACGTAGCTCGCTGACTTCTCGCGATATTTCCTCCCGTTAGCTGACATGATTGTAGTCCTCATGTTAGGGAGGAACGCGACAGCAAGTTCCTGAAACAAACATGACAACTCCTAAATACCCAAACTCCGAAAGTTTAGCGTGGACAGTTGGATGATAAAACAGTGAAATCATGGAGCACATCATAACGCCGAAGGTAGGTCTGAGTCAGCAGGTGTTTTCGTGTAAAGTCGGCAGATCTCTATTTATTGGTGAGATGTCAATAAACTAAACTGTCGACAGATGTAAAACACGCAGAGGAAGCGTTTTGCATCGGTTTGTTAACACATTTCGAGGTTTCATTTACTCTGCTGGTTAAAACGTGAAGCATTTTAAGCTCTGTTGATTGATGTTACTCACCGCAATCAAAGTGAATACTTTTAAAGGGGTTTTCAGTTGCAGGAGTAACGCATTCTCTCAAAATCCAGATGCAAGCAGATGCACTCCATCCCAAATTTTGAAAGGATGATACTTCTTTGTAAAAAAAATGTCTAATGTATATTGAGAAAAATATATTAATTATGTTCTGAAAAAATTACAAGTATTATTAGAACATATTTACTTTTCAGTTAAGAAGCATTGATTGTTTTTCAGTTTACTAAATATGGTTATAGTACAATTTTTCTATATTTACAGTGGTTTATATTATTATCCAGGTATTGAAATATTTTTCGTTATGTTTGTTTGTACCACGCAATTACCACGCTTGGGAAAAATCAAGGTTTTAATACCGCCAAAGTTTTCTGTTATACGGTTCCTAAGGTATTTTTACACCTGTTTTTCACAACTATTTTATTTAGTTTTTTAGGGCAACCGTATCTCCTGCAGAAAATGAACCTCTACTTCAAAAGCTACTGGTCCAAAATATTTTAAAAGTTTCTTAAATTAAAATCTATTGTGTTCAATTGGGGAAAAGTGATTGTTTACCCAGACGTTTATTAAGAACTTATTTTTGAGCAGTAATCACAATACAATACTGTGGTACCCGTGGTACCATGATATTTTTATCCAAGGTTATCATACCATCAGAATCTTATACCGGCCCATGCCGAATATTGGGTACATTATTAAAAAAAAAAAAACCTATAATAAAAAATGCATCTTCAAAGCCTTTGTCTGGTTTTATGGGGGACAAAACCTGCAAAACACTAAATAAATAAATACACAAATATATAAATAAATAAGTAAATGTATCCATAAATTCATGCAAAAATTAAATAATAAATAAATACATTTATATAACATACACATTTGTCATACAGTGCTCTGGATACATAAGTACACGACTCACAAATCTCTCTTTTAAATTCATACTTTTAATAGAAAGCTATAAAATATTATACTTGTGCATACACTAGATTAGTCAGTACTGGAACCAAATCTGGAGCTTATCTAACAAAATAACTTGTCATAATAGTCCTAAAACCACTACACTTTAATGCATAAGCTAAAGATAAATGTTAAATACAAATAAAAAAAACACTGGAAAAATCAAAAGAAGCAAAGAATGGAAAAAATGAGTTTTGTAAGGTGTATTTTTGTGTGTGCAATATTTTGCTTGAATTTAATCATATTGTCTTTCAATTTCAAAATATGTTTGGTGACAAAATGTTATTTGAATATATATTTTTTAATAAATCTGTTTTGTTTAAGTGCACCAAAAACATTGCCTATATTCACTGGGAATTGGACAAAAATATTTAATTTTTAAAATGGAGTGGACTCAATTATGCTGAGCACTGTATATACATTTATTTATTTGATTTGGTTATTTATTTATTTATGCAGGAATTTATGGATTTATTTATATATTTGTGTAGTTATTTATTGCTTTTGCAGGTTTGATCCTTCATACAGTTTGCCTAAAATGGTCTCTTTGAAAACCTGGCTGTTTCTATGTATATAATCATTAAAAGAATAGTTCACCAATAACTGAATATTCTGTCATTATTTACTCACCCTTTACTTGTGCCAAACTGTCAAACACAGAAGAAATTTCGAAGAAAGCTGAAAACCTCTAATCCTCGAATTGCATAGTATGCATTATTTCTACTTTGAAAGTCAGTGTTTGCAGGGTTTCAGAATTCTTTAAATATTTCTTTTTTTTTTTTTTAAACAGAATAAAGTAATCCTAAAGGTTTGTTACCACCTGAGGGTGAGTAAATAATTAAATTTTGAGGTAAATTATCCTTTTAATTCTAGCCATTTCATTTGCAAAACTTTTTTATTGTACATTCAGTGCTGAATGTTTAATTTTTTTTAGTAAACATTGTTTGGTCATATGAACGGTTAATGAAATTCTGCCAAGAATGTATGCTGGGATGTGTGTGTGTGTGTTTTGTGGATGAGTCTGAGGGGCATGGAGGGGTCAGCTCAAATATGTCACATTGAATCAGCAGTTTAGCAGGAACTGTGGTCTGCATTAACAGATGACCCATCTGCTCACATCTGCTCTGCCAGCAAGTCAGTCAGACTAATGCAATCTGAACTGGACATATCGAAGCTCACCTTAGATTTCAATCCATGCACAAATATAGAAATTCACCATGCTTTATAGAAACAAGAGAGATCACACCTTACCAAATAACACCTAGTTTTGGTATCCTCAGTCAACACATGTAGGATTGTTTCAATGATTTACTCAACAGTAGTACTACTTCATCAAGTCTCAGGCTTATAAACAAGACAAATACTTCAGACTTTGACTCTTTCAGAATGAAAGAGTATAAAATGTTCTTTAAGTCCTGAAGTGGCATCTTATGCTATTTCATTGCAGGTTACTCAGTAACCAAAATGACAAAATTGTGGAGAGAAGGAGGAACAGGACATGCTGACAGTAGTCCTAAGAGGTTCTGCAGGATTTCCTATTATTGTGTTAAACATAGTCTGGATGATGGGTTCTGCTCTCTGAGGGACTCCTGCAACCCTTAGTCTTCATCAATATGTCAGACTAACTCCTGTATTCATTGGTTGAACATTCTGCACTAAATGTTCCTCTTAAAGAGACAGTTCATCCCAAAATGTAAACTCCCTCACCGTTTACTCTCCCTCATATGGTTTTAATTTAGACCTAAATGAATTTATTTATTACAGAACACAAAAGAAGATATTTTGAAAAATGCCCTTTGACTTTCACAGTAGAAAATAAATTACTCTCCTAATCCTCTTTTGTATTCAAGAGATGAAAGAGACTTGGGTATTAAATAAGTGAAAGGTAGGAAAATGATGACAGGATATACATTTTTGGTTGAACTATCCCTTTAAAAAAAAAAAAGATTTATTTATAATACTTTTATGTCAGTTACACCCCATTCACACGAGGGGTCAGTGTTAACGCTTCCAATTCACTTTGAATGGGTGATGTCAGAGGTTGCCGAACTGCAATGTGGATCCGTCAGCGCCGTTTCAGTGTCGTTACTCACTGCAGAAGTTGGGACTTTCTCAACTTTTCAAGTGCCAACGGGAACGTTAGCCAATCAGATTGCTGTATGCAAATACAACAGCTCAGACAGTATACAACAGCTCTGACTAATTTCATTGGCTGACGCTGCTATGACTATCGCGTCAGCCCCATCTTTAGACACGCCCTCTGTCAAGCATTGACGCTGAAGCCCCGTGTGAATTGGGCATCAACAAACAAAAGTAAAAGAGAAAACAGTACAAAATCGATTACAAAAATTAAAAATGAACCGCTCTATAACCCTATTGGGCATCATCAATATATTGAACTGAATAGACTAGGGGGTGGCACGTTCTTCAAACTTGTGTTTTTATGTCAAGAAGAGTTGTATGCTTGTGCAATATCAGCACTAGTACTCATCTGGTGGTACAGGTACAGACTAAAAGTGCAAGATGGGCAACCAGGGGTGGACTGGCCATAGGGAGCACCGGAACATTTCCCGGTGGCCTGACGGTCAATCTAGCCTGCCGCCTAAAACCACATTCTCACCTCCTATCCTCTCTACACTGAGTTCACCCCTGTGGGCAATCATTTATTCTACAGTAAATGTTTCAAGTTTCAGAGATTTTACATGTTCCAAGAATGGCAACCAAATGTTAGAAAATTTGATCACTGAACCTCAAAGATTATATATATGAGCAATTCCGTGCAAATGTCAACCTTGCCATAAAAAAATTACGTTTTTACCAAAATACGGAAACCGTTTCTGGGTTTTTTGTGTAAGCAAGTATTTTACAGTACTTTAAAAATACTCAAAAATGCATCTGTCAATGTTTTCAAACTATTCTATTTGATTTACCAAAGTCACACAAATGGTAATTTCACATCCGTCACATCCATAACGGAGAGATGTCACATCCATAACGACACTTTTTCCTCAGAAATGTAAAAATATTAAATAAAATAAAACCAATCATTTCTGTTTTATAGAGAGCCAACTCTTATTTTGAGTAGCGTTATTTATTTTGGGTTGTGCAGTTTAATTCATAGAACTTCTACAAAGTATGTTGTATACTGTAAACTCGCAGACTTTTTTTGTCACATCCATAACGCATGCTTATTTTCCTCATTTAAAGTACAAAACATGTTTACAGATTGATATTTTTATGCTCCCATAACTCTGTGGCTAGTTGCTCTGGAAAATATAATAAAATTTTTCAATATAATGTTAACATATACTTTCTCTGTCAATTTATGTGTTGAGTTTTTACTGCAAATGTCACATCCATAACGCTGGAATTGCTCATATATTTTTTTCTAATTTGACAGAAATTAAGGTGTCTTTAATCCATTGAGTATGGGATGCGAGTTGAGGAGACTTCCACTGCAACAAAATACATCACCTAGCTAATAATGACAGAAAAGCTATTCGTTCAGAAAAATAAAATGGTAACTGACAATCAGGGGGTGGAACTCCAGACAGGCCAATTAACAGAGAATGATCAATTTTAATAGATGTAATAGCTGAAATTGAATCCAAGGAAACAAAGCTGCACAGGTCCAAACATGTGAACTAGATTTGCAGGTTCAGCTTGACACTAAACGATCCTTTCAATGTATTTTTTTGCAGGTGGAGAATGTGAAACTACTGAACAGGTACACTGAAAAGAAGTCAGCTCTGGGCACTCTTTACTTGACCGCGACTCATCTTATCTATGTGGAACAAACCAGCAACACACGCAAAGAAACATGGGTAATGTTGGCCACCGGATACAGAATATGCTATGTTCTGTCTCTGTATTTGCCTGGATCCATCTTTATACTGTATAGTAGGGATGGGTGGAATGATGAAATACTGAATAATTTGTCAGTCCTACTTGATTTGTTTTTTAATTTGTGTATACTGCAACATCTAAATAATTTATTGTAAGAAGCTAACACTTATGGGGGAAGAATCACAAACCTAACTACAGAACTAAACACACAAACTGAACAGATATCAACTTCAGCTCAGCCAAAAGGAGTTTGACAAAAATTCAGTGTTGTGCATTTTTGTGTCAATTTTCCAAAAGTCCTCCAAAAAAGGGAAAAAAACACTTTTAATTCCTGAAGTATGTTTATTTATTACAACCCCTTTTATTGATTTTCTGGAATAACAAACTTAAAATGAAATCTATTGTTTCCATGAAATAGCATTAAAATAGAATTTTGGTCATACCTTAAACCCTCACTGTATGGTAGGTGAGAAGCCGTTTGAGACTTGAGTGGTAGGGCTGTGTAATATTGGAAAAACAACCTAAAAATGATTTTTACTTTATTATTTATTTATTTAGCAAGCAATATATATTGTTATAGAAAACCAATTTCACCAGAGCATTCAAATAGCTCTTTCTGGAAATAAATCAATATATTATAATGATTATTATTTTGAGATGATGCAATGGTGCAGTGGGTAGCACAATCGCCTCACAGCAAGAAGGTTGCTGGTTTGAGCCTCGGCTGGGTCAGTTAGGATTTCTGTGTAGAGTTTGCATGTTCTCGCTGCATGTTCTCCTTATGTTTCCTCCGGTATCCCCTACAAGTCCAAAGAAATGTGGTACGGGTAATTGGCTATGCTAAAATTGACCATAGTGTATGAGTGTTTATGGATGTTTCCCAGTGATGGGTTGCAGCTGGAAGGGCAAACAAAGCTGCACAGGTCCAAACATGTGAACAAGATTTGCAGCTTCAGCATGACATTGAACACTCCTTTCAATGTATTTTTTTCATCCGGTGTAATAATTTAGTGTTTGTCCACTGTGGCAACCCCTGATTAATAAAGGGGACTAAGCCGAAAAGAAAATGAATAAATGAAATGCAAATGAAATGATCCAAGCTGTATGTTTTATTTTTCTTCTATGGAATCTAACAGTATTGTGTAACAGAATTTGCTTAATCAAATGTTAAAAAAACACAGCATAGTCTTTACTATATTAAATGCAGTCAAAGGATTAGTTTACCCAAAGCTGAAAATCCTCTGAGGCATTCTTTCATTTCAGAACACAATTGAATATATTTTAGATGAAATCTGAGAGTCACGTAAACTAACATTGGTGAGATGTTCAGAAAAGGAAGCAAAAACACTGTCGGGAGATTTCATGTGACTTCAGATCAGCTGTAGTCATCTGAAGCTCCATGAACAATTTTATGTGCCAAAAAACATGTAAAAACAGCCTTGTTCATCAATGTTTTCTCTTCCATGTCAGGTCATCAGGGTGTGCGTTTACTATATAGGCAGTACAATGTATTGCTATTAGAGTAAAGAGCACAACAAACAACCGTCATACTGGTTGTTGTAAAGGCATTTAAGGGGGTCACACACCCAAAGCGCTGCTCGGCGTCGCGCTATACACACCGTAGCCACAAGTCGGCAGCTGCCTGCATGCCTGTTCATGAAATATGAACAGGGCACTGTTCATATTTCTGCCGCGCCACAGAGCGCTATCTAAATAGTTTCATTTTAAATAGCATGCGAATGTGCGCGTCTGGTGTGCAATACTTTTAACTGTCATGCGCGCGCTGTGTCACGGCGCATCCATTGTGTGACCTGCTTTAGTGACTTGACTGGACTGAAAAAAAGACATATAACAGTGTTGATTTTACAGTTTCTTTAGCACATGAAAGTGTTCATGGAGATTTGTATGATTACATTTGAGCCACTGAACTCACATGGGATGCTTTGACAATGTTGTTGGTTTATTTTCTGGACTTTGAATATCTTTTGACCATTGCTGCACCAGGATGAGAAAGCTCTTGGATTTCATCTGTTCTGTAGATGAACAAAGATCTCAGGGGATTGGAATGACTTAAGGTTGAGTAATTAATAACAGAGTTTTCATTTTTGTGTGAAATAATCCTTTAGTTTTTTATCAAACAACAAATAATATTGTTTCTTTAATCTTGCTTGAAATGTTTGCTTAGGTCTTAAAACACACGTGAGCAGGATTTGTGAACAACAGTGGTGCAACAACTGGTGTAATAGGTCACAAGACAGAAATGACATGGCTAAGACAGTACAGCCACTGATAAAAATATAATTCATATTACACAATATATTTTTTGTGGGTGAAGTAGGCCTCAAACCAAATGTATTGCCTACGTTACATGATTTTTGGAGGCATCGTTTGGCTTTTTCTTATGTAAAAAACACATCTAGATATGTCTGATAACAGTGTCTGTGTCAATTCCATGTGTTTGAAGGTGCTGCATCATCACATCTTGTCAGTGGAGAAACTTCTGTTAACTGCGTCCGGTTGTCCACTGTTGATCCGCTGTAAAACCTTCCAGCATCTGCATCTGCTGTTTCAAAAAGAGAGGGATTGTCAGGATGTGTATCAGTCACTTCTACGGCTTTTTCAACCTGGTAACACGCTCACTGGTGCTTTGATGCAATGATATGATTTGTTTTGTGTATGCAAGGCAGAAAACATGTTGTACATCATTTATTTATTTAATTATGTATATGCTATTCTAATTGCATTTTTGTTGATTTTAGTTTTAGTAATTGTAGTTTACATGTTTGTATTTTTATTTAGCTTTAATTTAAAATTTTTATAAAAATGTTTTGTTGAGTTGCCAATGCACCATTGCTAATTTTCTATATCTTTATCTTTAAAACTGTTACATAATTAATGAACATAGTCACAGGGCAAGGGATGTTTCGTATCCTTTCTTATTGACTGTTCAATTTCAAACCAGTGGTTTGTTGTGCTAATAGATGATGATATTGTGCATTGGTAATAGTTAGACATATTGCCAATAGCTGATGACTACTAAGGCAGGGTGTCCGCGGGGGCTTAAAAAAAGTCTTATATTTCAAAAACAAAATTTTAGGCCTTTAAAAGTCTTAAATTCAGTGAAATATTGTCTTGTAGGTCATTTTAAACGAGTCTTCATTTTTTATGTGCAAGTAAAGCTACCTAATAATGAACCAACTCAAAACTTTTTATTTATATTTAAGTTTTTTTATTGCAAAGAGATAGATTTCACAACAGCAGTTAGATGTTTTACTGCAAATTATCCAAATAAAATGGGGCAAATAAGGGAAAGAAAACTTAAGCAACACATCTCCATTATCTTTTATGAATTGAAAAACTAGTTACTAGGCCATTAGAAAAAATTCTTAGTGTTTTAAGTTTAAAATTTTAATCTAAGTCGACTGAAAAGGGTCTTAAAAGTCTTATATTTGGCTTGGTGAAACCTGCACAAACCTTGTACTAAGGTGATATATCGCTCGTATGTAGATTCAGAATCATAAGTAAGTAGATTTATTTGCTATTGTCTATTAGAGAATACTCAGAAGTAAAAAGGCAGTTCTTACCTTTACGTTTTGTAGTGAGTAATGGACTGTTTTGAGACTCTTTTATTGACATAATTCTCATGAAAGTTTGATAATTGATGGAAGACTCTAAATAGGACTGTCTATAAAGCCAAACCCTCAATAGTAAATCTTTATTTTATGTATATTACATGCTGCAAAATACATATATGATGAAGACTGGCCCAAACATTTGCTCTCAAACTTTAACTGTGTTACTGTATGATTTCAGTCAAAGAAGAGGAGCTTTATGCTTTCCTCTATAACCCACATCAAAACGAGGAGGAGCGGAGACGGGGTTGGGAGTTGATCAGTGTGGTGAATGACTTCAACAGGATGGGCCTCTCTAATGATTATTGGGAAATTAGCCATATCAACAAAAACTTTGAGGTAGCATCTTCCTATAACATGTCAACCTAGCATACAATGTTCCTGTTTGGGTCCATTATGATACTGTAAATACATGATTTGACAAACTAATGTTCATGTACCAATGTTTGTGGTAAATAAAAATTAAGAAATGTCTCTTGACAACCAAGTCAGCTTTTTTGAATGATAAAATATGTGAAAATAAAAACCAGATATTTAAAACTGTAATAATATTTCACAATATTTTTGTTTTTACTGTATTTTTGATTAAATTAATGTTTCCATGCTGTGCATAAAATATTGTACCGACTCCAAAACCTCAGCAGAATGCTTTTATGTTTTACTTTTATAGTGAATAATGTCAAATCGTTTTTCCTTGTCTCTTATTCACAGATGTGTAGCACTTATCCATCCATCCTAGGACTCCCTAAAAGTGCCAGTGTTGCTACGGTAACAGGCAGTGCCAAATTTAGGAGCCGAGGGCGTTTGCCTGTTCTGTCTTACTATCACAAAGATACAAAGGTATACAAGCACATTCACTTTACAATGGCTGTTTTCCACAACCCAGTAACTCCCCATTTAGACAGCACTTTAAGACATTGGGGCAAATTGTAAGGTACGTTTAAAAGAAAATTTGATGTGAAGCATGTTTAAATTGCCTCTGTTCTAGCTTTGTTGGTAGTACACTACCTGATGAAAGGGTTGTCGCCTATTCAAATTTTAGAAACAACAAATAATAACTTGAGTTCTAGTTGATCATTTGGTATCAGAAGTGGCTTATATGAAAGACAAAGGCCTCTAGATTTCTTTTATTTTATTCATCTTCAATGCCTTCTCCTTTATCTTACCTCAGACATGCTCGATAATGTTCATGTCTTGTGATTGGGCTGGCTAATCCTGGAGCACCTTGACCTTCTTTGCTTTCAGGAACTTTGATGTGGGTGCTGAGTTATGAGAAGGAGCGCTATCCTGCTGAAAAATTTGCCCTCTCCTGTGGTTTGTAAAGTAATGGGTAGCACAAATGCCTTGATGGCTGTTGATGTTGCCATTCACTCTGCAGATCTCTCGCATGCCCCCATACTGAATATAACCCCAAACCATGATTTTTCTTTCACCAAACTTGACTGAATCTGTGAGAATCTTGGGTCTATGCGGGTTCCTATAGGTCTTCTGCAGTATTTGTATTGATTGGGATGTAGTTCAACAGATGATTCATCAGAGAAATCTACCTTCTGCCACTTTTCCAAATGATCAACTAGAAGTCAATTTATTATTTGTTGCTCTTACAACTAGGATCGACGACAAGACTTTTGTCAGGTAGTTTATGTTGTAGCCATCAAAGTTAAAATGTGTTGATATTAGGGATGGGAAGATTAACCGATATGTATCGATACGCGGTCATGCGCGTGCACGATGCGAGTGCATCGGTAGAGCAGCAGAGGATGAATGAAATTTTGGAAGCAAATCGAGATGCATCGGTTTTTCCGAGATGCATCGGTTTTTCCGAGATACAGCTTATATTTTTAATATAGAATGTATTTTTTATTTATTAACAAGTGTTGTTAACCTGTTTTTGGCGCATAATTTAATCGACCTACATAAAGTAAGCCTTAGCAACGGATTTGCGGATGTGCACACACTACAACTCAATGTATCAGGTGTGCGGATGAAGCTAGTGGAGCGCCCTCAGAAAGCGCGAGAAGCAAAACAAACATTTTATTCCCCACTGAGTTTTAAATCTAAAGTATGGCAACATTATGGATTTAAGGATGGACGACATGACAGGACAGATGCAATCTGCAAAATGTGCCGCGCATCTGTAAAATACGCGGGCAGTACGACTAATCTGATATCTCACTTGAAGCGGCGCCACGGTGTTGTTGTGAAAGCATCTTCCAGTGTTTCTGCATCCCCGGCTTTCGCACTGCTTCAACCAGCTCCAAAAGTGGTGAGAAAAGCATTGCAAGTTTTTTTTTCCATGCGCAACAGTTCTGCTCGCTCTACGCCAATAACGAATGCTATTGCATTGTTCATCTGCAAAGATATTCAGCCTAGTGTCACGGAGAACGAAAGTTTTAAACACCTCCTCCTGTTAATTTTTATTTAATTATAATAATATTAATAATAATAATGATAAAAATAATTGGGTGTCACGGTGGCACAGTGGGTAGTTTGACCACCTCACAGCAAGAAGATTGCTGGTTTGTTATATTTTTATTAGCCTGTTGTTTACAGTGACAGTGATGTTTCAAAGCAGCATAACACTGCTAGTTCACAACCTTAAGTTTTGAATAATCAGTGGCAAAATATATCTTTGTAAAACTTGTTTTCATAGTTGAAAAGTTAAATCACAATTCTTGTTGTGCAATGCTAAATTTATTTATGTTGAAAGAGTGCAAATATATACATTTATAATATATATTGCACTTATACATTCTGTTTATCTTGAAAATACTTAAATAATATGTGCTATATTATCTAAAATGGCCCTCTACTGTAAACTGACACTCTGGCTCCGAGAGAAAAGCCAGTTTGTAAAAAAAAGTCTTGGTTTTGCTTGGTTTATAAATAATCAAACTCATTCAATGGCACAGCATCATCTTTCACATAATCTCATAAACTTGATCTAATTAGTTAGCGCTGAAATATCGCATCGTATCGTGATATGGGTGTGAATCGTATCGTGTTGCATCGCAATATGTCACAAATGTATCGCTAATATATCGGATCGTATTCTTTGTATCGAGATACGTATCGGATCGGCATTATAGCTTAGATGCCCAACCCTAGTTGATATATAAGTTAAGTTTAAATATATTCAATTATATTACATACAAGTTAAAATAATTAACAAATTACAAATTCTTGATTTCATTGCGTTTTACAAAATGACTTGTGCATGGATTTAGGTTGTGCAAGTATTACAAGAAGTTGTGATGCCAACCAAATTATTACCAAATTGACATTCTTTGCATTTTGTGCTGCTGTCTTTCAGGCTGCGATTTGTCGCTGCAGTCAGCCTTTGTCAGGTTTGAACTCCCGCTGTGTGGAAGACGAGCAGATGCTTCAGGCCATCAGCCAAGCCAATCCAAACTCTCCCTTTATATATGTAGTGGACACACGGCCCAAGGTGCGACCTTTAACCTTAACCTTTCTATATACATAAGGGTGACAAGTCCAGGATGGGACACGTAAGTGTTTATCTTTAAACTTTCAACCCTGAATGCTCTGATGCACATGTACTGTAGGAATGTAATCCTTCACCTACTGACATCTGACCCCAGCTTTATTTATTGAACTAATGATTAAAAATGAGATGAGTGCCTAAAGGATATTGGAGAAATCTGGCATTGTGATATTTATTGTTTCTGCAATATACATTGCAATAAGAGTACAATTTCACTAGATGGCTTAAACAACTCTTGAATAAATCTTGAATTTAAATTAATTATAGTGGTTTTGTAAGGGTGTGAATCATGTATAAAAGATAATAAGTATATTGCAAATAGGAATAATTACAATAGAGCAAAGAAAAAAGTAAAATAAACAGTGCTTTGTGGTTTTTAATTACAGAAATTGATTAATAAATGTAAAATGACACTCTATAGTCTCTGTATTAATAATTCTGTTAAATTATTCTTCATTAAAGTTACAATTGTTATACATTTTCGTGCCCAAATGCTTTAAACTTTCTTGAAATGTCTTTAAAACACATGCAATTAATAAAGTTTCGCTCTGTTATGGTTATACTATGGTAAATCTCATCCATTCTCACTTGCTTTGCTGATCAACTGCAATCCTAACTCAACATTGCATATCCTACCATGTGACTATTGCAAACACACACGATATTGCAATATTGATGCTGAAATGATCTATTGTGGCGCTGTACTTTTGATTTTTCTAAATAAAAAAAAAATACCACAATACGTTTGCAGATATTTCAGAAACATTCTTAATGAAAAACAATGCTTAAGTTGGTTATTCTTCTTTCAAAATGTGGGCACATGTAAAACAGGGTATTTCATTCATTAAGTCATAAAGGCTGTATCAATATGTGTACTGTGCACTTGTTGAAAATGCGACCTCTGGCCTGTAGCAGCCTCTGAAATGAGATGTAACAGTTTAAATGCTTGATCTTTTGCATATGTTTTTAAGGTGACTGTTAGTATTTCAAGAGGGTTTAAAACATTTGGACACAAGAAATGATGATGTTTGTAGGTGTAAGAAAGATTAATTGAATTTAATTTTTTAATCAATTGATCAAAAAAGGTTTTTCTTACTTAGAACTATTCTCTCATTTCTAGTCCAAATATCTAGGTTATGATTATTTTACTTATCCCATTGGCAGATAATATAGCTTGTTTTAGGGAAAAAATCTTTAATTTTGACACATTATTTTCTGAAGGTGAAAACAAAACAATATTTTACCTGACCTTAGTTTTTTTTTTACATATTTGGACTAGAAACGCGACAAAGCTAAATAAGAAAAGCATTTTTATGTGCAGTGTAAAAATGCTGGGTTCCACACAATTTCTTCATGTTGTCTCAACTCAAATCAATTAAGTTAACTTCATTGTTTTTACAAATTGGAAAAGTGGAAACTTTTAAAGTGGAAACAAATAAGTTGTCCCAAAAAACATAAAAATTATGAAGTTTTAACTTATTTTTTAAGTCATTATTTAAGTGCATTGTGATTATTAAATTTCTTCACCTTAAAGCTTTCCAGAAAGCTGTCAAATAGAGCTATTTAAACCTTCTTGTGAAATGGTATTCATTCATTTTCTTTCGGCTTAGTCCCTTATTTATGAGGGGTCGCCACAGCTGCGCCATTGCCAACTATTCCAGCATATGTTTTATGTAGTGGATGCCCTTCCAGCCGCAACCCAGTTCTGGGAAACCACATACACTCTCGCATTCACACACGTACTTTGGACAATTTAGTTTATTCAATTCAATTATAGTGCATGTCTTTCTACTGTGGGGGAAATCGGAGCACCCAGAGGAAACCAACACAAACACAGGAAGAAAACATGCAAACTCCACACAGAAACACCAACTGGCCCAGCCGGTACTCAAATCAGCGACCTTCTTGTAGTGCTAACCACTGAGTCACCATGCCACCCTAATGGTAATCATATCACAAGATTTATCGAAGAAAAGTATTGCAATATCAGATTTTTCCAATATTGTGCAGCTGAAGTTGCTGTCGTCAATCTGTGCATGTTCGTCATGTCGAATAGAAGTGGCCAGGTAAAAAAAAAACTGTTCAACATTTTAAATTTGGACAACAATACCAAGTTTACCCACTATGTGCCATTTCTACATATTACACAATTAATTCAGTAATTAGTGTATTTAATTTTAGTATGCTTTACAAATATTGCATTATATACTTTCTGTTTATTGTTGCCTGTTACATGTTTCACCAATACTGGAAAACAGGACATGCAACGCTTTTCTCAATTCTTTCAGAGAGTAAACTGCTGTAACCCTGACCCTCTGGAAATAGTGGTGTAAAATATCTATGTGTCTTTGTCTTTGTCAGTTGAATGCAATGGCGAACCGTGCAGCTGGTAAAGGCTATGAGAACGAGGACAATTACTCCAATATCAGGTTCCAGTTTCAGGGAATTGAAAACATCCATGTCATGAGAAGCAGCCTGCAAAAACTGCTGGAGGGTGAGAGGAAACTTTTCATTAGGACCAGTAGTGCAAACTCTATTAGGGTTGCAATAACTTATTAATGAAATGAACAGACTTGTAAGCTTGACAGATACATGATACTGTTAAAATTTACTTTCAGTGCTTAACTTACAAGGCCCAGTTTCCACCTGGTATTAAGACAAATTGTCAGTAATACGATTGCAAATTTTTTAACTGAGGAACATTACTGTTTCCGTCTGGTGTTATCCTGCATTGAAATTTGTTCTTCTGACCACTTGGTCACTTTTGCCATGCCCCTTTCTTCAATTCAATTCAGTAAACCTTATTGTCTATCCCAGAGGGGTTAGAAAATTGTCTTTAGAAAGAGGCTAACACACAACAACAAAGCATAAATACACTTACACAATTATTTACAAAATCCTATTTAAAACCAATGGCAGTGGGAACAAATGTCTTCTTCTACTTTTTTTTGCTAAAAGGACTTTATACCGTCTGCCAGATGGAAGTAACTTAAAGGAACCATGTAAAAGATGGGAGATGTAAAGAGTCTTCCACAATAGTGGAGATTTTTCTTTTTGTCGCTGCTATAAATAAATCAGTGAGAGGTGTTGGTCTCTCATCAATGATTTTACTCACTATGTTTACCAACCTTAAAAGTTTATTTTTACTTTTAACAGAGAGGGAGTTACACCAGGCTACAAAACTGAAAGTAAGGATAGACTTAAAAAGTCTTTATCTGTTTATACATATTTTTTGGGCTGGAATGTTCATCAGTGTGATGAACAAACTCATATTACACCTTACAAACAAGTGGGAAAGCAATTAAATGAAAACCATTTTATGATAGCAACTATTAATTGAACTATTAATCATTTGTGTCAAATAAGTTTTATTGATGAAGACACAGATTCAAGACAAAATTAATTCTGTTTACATATTTTGTCCATAACTATTAATCATTTGTGTATTGAATGAATGAAGTATTAATATCTTGTTTTGATGTCTCTCGATTAAAAATAACACATTTTTTACTTCTACTGGAAGTGTTTAAATGTGAACTTACACTTTTTTTAGAGTGTCATCTCTATATTTAACTCTTTAATAGATTCAAATACTGTATTTGTTTTCATAGCCTTCCAATTGTACATTATTTGAAGGACAACATGTGGAATAACATTATTAAATACAGGACTAAAATGATATTTAATACAATTATATAAGTGATATTTGGGCATTTACATAATAATCAAAGCATTCAAACAAAGAAATTATCAAAAGATTAATTAATTTTCCAAATAATTGTTATTTGCAGCCTTAAACTCTCAATTAGTCTTATGTTTGTAAGTCGGTGCAGTAAGGTACTGGTTATAAACCGGTAGTAGGTGATGTGATTGTATCTGTGTTCCTCCAGTTTGCTCTATGAAGTCTCCCTCTATGAGTGACTATCTGACAGGACTGGAGAACTCTGGCTGGTTGAGACACATCAAATCTGTGATGGATGCAGGGGTCTTCCTCGCCAAGGTATTGACTTCAGTTCTGTTTCTACGCACACTGACACCTGTTAGTGTGTCTTTCTAATTTACTCAGGGGTTTTGTTTTGTGTCGTAGGCTGTGTGTGAAGAGAGAGCGAGTGTATTAGTACACTGTTCCGATGGTTGGGACAGAACTGCTCAGGTTTGCTCTCTGGCTTGCTTACTGCTGGATCCATACTACAGAACTATTAAAGGCCTCATGGTAATTACACACTAACCTTTAACCTCTGCCCTCAACACAGGGGTCCTTTGATCTTTAAGCGTCCACTCACATTTATGTCTCTACAATAGGGAGGTCATGGCTTTGTTTACTATGAGGTTACTTATAACTATGAAGCTATATATTCATGTTTATTTTAATAAATCCTGTTTATATATATATATATAATTTTTTTTTCCCCACTATACACTACCCGACAAAAGTCTTGTTGTCAGTCCTAGTTGTAAGAGCATAACTTGACTTTTAGTTGATCATTTGAAAAAGTGGCAGAAGGCTGATTTTTCCGAAGAATCATCTGTTGAACTACATCCCAATCATCACAAACACTGTAGAAGACCGCAGTAGAACCAGCATAGACCCAAGATTATCATAGAAATCAGTCAAGTTTGGTGAAGGAAAAATCATGGTTTGGGGTTTCATTCAGTCTGTGGGCATGCGAGTGATCTGCAGAATGGATGGCAACATTAACAGCCTGAGGTATCAAGAAATTTGTGCTGCCCATTACATTACAAACCACAGGAGAGGGCAAACTCTTCAGCAGTAAACCGCTCCTTCTCATAATTCAGCCTCTACATCAAAGTTCCTGAAAGCAAAGAAGGTCAAGTTGCTCCAGGATTGGCCAGCCCAGTCGCCAGACATAAGAACATTATTGAGCATGTCTGGGGTAAGATGGAGGGAGGCATTGAAGATGAATCCACAGAGATGTATGGATGCAGTCCTCCAAGCTCATGGGAGTCATACACAACATCATCATCAACAACTAATCAAATAATTAAAAATCAAGGCATGATCATATTTTATTTTTGGAGAATACGCGTAATCTAGAGGCCTTTACCTTTAATATAAACCACTTCTGTGCTGATACCAAATGATCAATTAGAAGTCAAATTATTATTTGTTTCTAAAACTTGGATAGATATATATGATGTATCTATATACCATCAATTATAAATAGTTAATTCACACACACACACACACACACACACACACACACACATATATATATATATATATATATATATATATATATATATATATATTAGGGATGTAACGGTATTGTAAATACCGTCATACCGCAATATTAAATTTTTCCGATATTACCGAAGTCGCATGACTCGGTAAAACTATAGGTCTTCTGAGAAAATTTGCTCAGGCGAATAAAGCGAACGGGAGGTAGCTTAAACTACATTTCCCATAAGCCCAGGCGTGGCCATAATCCTTTGCGGTCTGTTGTCGCTACAGATCCAGTAATGCGGAAATGGAGTGTGCTGCTAGTAGCGGAGATGAAAAAAAGATGGAAATGATCGAACCTAAAGCGGGTGTTGTCGCCGCGCCAAACTGAATAGCAGTGTTGTCGCGCGCGTTCTGATCAGCTGTGTTGTCTCGCGCGTATTGTAAAGCGCCGAGGGGGGGTTGAGCGCGCATTCTCAAGAGCGGTGTTGTCTACTGAAGGGCTGGACGGAGGGTGTGTCGTGTCGCGGGGGCACTTTTGATCAATTTGGAAGGGCATTTTCTATCCAAGACTAAAAAGGGCATGTGCACTGCACAGGTTGAGCCCTATGTGTGCACGTGCCTGCAAGTTGGGGAATACGACTAATAGCAGTCATGGGGACTGCAGAAACACAGCACACTGTTCAGATTGATGCAGACATTGACTTGTACCGCAAAGAGATCTCTATCTCACTCATGGTTTGTCTTCTCAAGTGGGGGAAAGACAATGCACAATGTTGCCCACTGCTGTCAACATGGGCCAAGTCATATCTCTGTCCCAGAATCCTCAGTCCCAAATGAGAGGGTTTTTTTCTGTTGCAGGGGACATTGTAAATACCCAGAGATACCAGCTTTTACCAGATTATAGTTATATGATCATTTTCCTTTAAACCCATCTATATCTAAGTAAGTGAGTGAGTGATTAAATGTTGAATGTGATGAGTTTTCAACAATACTAAATTGAAACTTTATTTTTTTACATGGTTTAATAATTTTTTGTTATTAAAATTGAAGTTCCTGTTTCAAAGCTAACAGATAGATGACTAATTTGTATGTCATTGACACTTTTGGCACTTTTTTGGAGTATTTTCAAAAGTTTTTTTTTTTCCTGTAAATGATTCAATAAATACCGTACCGTGACATTCATACCGAGGTATTACCGTACCGTGAAATTCTGATACCGTTACATCCCTAATATATATATATATATATATATATATATATATATATATATAAATATATATATATATACACACAGACACACACACACACACACACACACACACACACACACACAACCAGAGATGTTCCAATATATTACTAGTTAAAACAACTTTTACATTTTTTGGTTTGATCAACAACAAAAAACAGCAATAATTTAACATTTCTGTTATTTTAAAATAAAATGTATTCCTGTGCTGCAATGCTACAATTTTCAGCTAACATCATCCCAGCTTTCAGTTGCACATAATTCTTCAGAAATCATTCTAATATTTGGAATTCAGGAGACATTTTAAAACTAATAAAAAAAAACTTTGTAAAACGCATGATTGCTGAATAGTGTTGTTAAAAATATAATACTAATCGACTGAATGAAAATTTGAGCGGTTTTATTCATGCTTTGCTGGTTGATAAATTATTCGGATGGATTAAAATTTCAATTTCTTTGGTCAGACTGTGATAATTATTTTAGAAAACTGCTTATTGGTAATGAAACAAAGTATTTATTAGTCATCTATTGCTCATTTTGTAAACATTTTCAGTGCCTTTTTGTAATTTCACTGCGGTTTTTTGTCCAATTGTATAAATTCATGTTAAACACTACTTTGAAACATTGTTTACAGCTTAAGAATATTAAATTAAAATCTGATGGTGAAAAATGTTTTTTCTGCTAATTTAAGAGGAGTTAAAAACAGACTGGTCAATTTACACCAGGAACACTAAAATAAGGGGTGGAATGTGAACACGACAGGAGGGTTAATAATTTGACTATTTTTTTATTACAGGTTTTAATAGAAAAAGAGTGGATTTCTTTTGGTCATAAATTCAGTCACAGGTAAATAACACTTTAAGCATTATTACATCTCTTAGTTTGCACAAATACGTAACTACTTGTAATCATATTATTGAAATTGTTATCATTATTATTAAAGTTAAATGCGATCACTGTTGCTAGAATGTGAAAAAATCTTTGTGCCATCATGGATCAATTTGTGTATGTGTTTGTGCTCTAGGTGTGGCCATCTGGACAGCGACCCAAAGGAAGCGTCTCCGGTGTTCACCCAGTTCCTGGAGTGCGTCTGGCAGCTGTCACAACAATTCCCCTGTGTGTTTGAGTTCAACGAACATTACCTGATAGAAATACATGACCAAGTCTACGCCTGCCAGTACGGAAACTTCATCGGCAACTGTCAGAAGGAGAGGCTAGACATGAGGTGAGGAACGAATCCACATGCTAAACAAAACAAAATAAAAGACATACATTTTATTTCTACTTTGTAGTTTTGCTTCAACATTTTGTGTGTAATTTTAGGTTGCATGAAAAAACCTTTTCCCTGTGGCCGCATCTTCTGGAAAACCAGCATCAGTATCGAAACCCTTTGTACCGGCGCTCATTAGAAAGCACAGTTCTCAGACCAAGCACTTTACCACTACACTTCAAGTACGTACAAGCAAATACATGGATAAACCCACTTTGCCTCTTGATTACAAACAAACACAGATGGGTGTAAATTCACGAATTCACACTCAGCTGTGTTTGCTGTAAACAAAATGTTAGCAAATACAAATGAGCTACATTGCTTTTTGTTTACAGAATAGTTTAGCACCAAAATAACATTGTAAAATAAAAGGCATAGATGGAGGTGTTAATGAGGAGCTGTGTGTTTGTGTTGATTGCCAGGTTCTGGTGTGGGATGTATAACCACTATGACAGAGGAATGCACCCAAAACAGTCTGTTCTAGACACGCTGCTGACTCTCACACAGAGGCAGGTAGAAGGAGAGAGAACCATGACTGAATTACAGAGAGTAAGTGGGGTTGTAGTACTCTTTTCTAGGATGAAGATCAAGGTTTTTTTAGTAAACGAAAACTAAAACTATTAATTAGAAAACATTTTTGTAAACTGAAAAAAAAATGGCAATAAATGAAAATCTGAAATTAACTAAAATTAACAACATTCACTGAAAGATGACCTGAAAAAAAAAAAATTAGCAAAAATAATCATCATTTTTACAACTAAAGGGTCATTTTCTGAGATGCTGACAGTCATATATATGTCCCACATTGCTAAAAACACTATTAAAAAGCGAAAATTGGTTGTTTTTGCCTTATTTTGAGCAAATTTGTTCTGAAAATTTGAAGCAACATCACGGCCATGAGATCCTTGTTTAAATTCCAGCGTGGAGACTGGATGTCTGTACCGGCAGGTACAATGTGATGTCTTTGAGCTTTCAGCATCAATTCATGAGAAAGACCTGGTTCAAACAAATCAGCGTGCTCTATTGTGTATGAGGTGCAACTTCAATAATATGCATGATATAGCTTCCAAGACTCTTTTTACCTGTTACAGTGTTCAGACGGCAGAGAGATGTGTTGCCAACCATAATTAAAACAAGTGGAAAAAAAATTTGTTCAGAGACACGGGTCGTCGGTGTTGTGTTTATTAATGTGCCGCAGCAAAGGTTTTGTTTCCATTTCCCCATTATGAGAGCACCGATCACATTTGGACCCACATGTGTGAATTACAGTGGTCTGCTAACATGTGACAAAAATATCATTGTAAAAAACATTTTTCACCCAAGAGCTTTTCAAATCTGCAAATGGTGAAATCTGGATTTGCCTCTCATCTTTAAAAAAAAAAGACGCAGCTCCAGTTTGTGTTGATTGTCCTGTCTCTACAGATTTGTTAAGCGTGCAATCAATGTTCTTTGTTAATGTTTTAGATGGCAAAGTTAATTCGTATCGTCAGCAGTACTCTTTCAGTTTTTAAAGACATGCCTTAGTCAAAATGATTTAGTTACTAAGTTTACAGTAATATCACTACAATATTATGGCCGTAAAGATCCTCTGTAAATGTTGCTCTCCGAAAGTAAACATGTAAACACCTTAATCTAACTATTACTGCCGTGTAGGATTTTCGCTGCAAATGATTGTTTTGGCATTTTGTGACAGGATAGTCTATACACACACGGCTGTTTGACGCTATTCTCCTATACGTCGTGCTGTATAAAAATAATCCCTTAAAACTAAACTTCTCCAGCAGTTCCTAGCATACAATATCTCGTTTGTCATGGGGGCATGCATGAAATGTTTCTAAATGAAAGTGAAAGTGCCGAACTGCAGCTAAAGTCGACAAAACTTAATTTGTGCCCTTAAAGGGCTATGAAATCCCCCATCTCAGCAGGGTGTTTTCATACCTCTAGTTTAAAAAAAAAGTCAGAAAAATGGGTAAGGCTAGCTTTATTTAAGTGGGAGTGTCGAGTGGTGAAAGAGGGAAGGGTTTGGATGAAAAGGGGAGTTTCATTACGTGCACTACAGCTGATTCTCACAGCTGCAACCCAAACATAGAAACATGGGAGATAGACAGTAGCTATGTCTCCATCCAAAAATGTGAATAAACATTATGCGCAAAACTGGATTGCATAGAAGACGTGCAAATAAAGCAGCATTTCCATCCAACGATTCAAAGCAAACAAAATCGTCACTTCCTGATTATCTGGTGCCAAATATCAACAGTAAAAACAAAATTTGCTGCAGTAGGAGAAGCTGTATGTTGTTTCCATCAACAGTTTTTCATCCGCATATGCAAAATGCGCATAAAAATAGCTGTATGGAAACATAGCTAGGGATTCAGAGAGCAGCATTTACAGTGATACTAAGAGCTGTGTGGAAGTGGAGGATTTCCAGTGCATAATATTGTTGTGATTATACTATAAACTTAGTAACTAAATAATATTGGCATGTCTTTAAAAACTGAGAGTACTGCTTACGATATGAACTAAGTTTGCCATCTGAATAAACATAAACAGCGAACATTGATCACACACTTACCAAATTCGTAGAGACAGGACAATTAACAAACTTTTTTTAAAAGAAAGACAAGCTGCAAATCCGGATTTCATCATTTACAGAATCGAAAAGCTCTTGGCTAAAAAATTTTCTTAACAAACATATTTTTGTCTCGTGTTTGCAGACCACTGTAATACAACTGCTCAGGTCCACACATGAGCTGTGCTCTTATCGCAGGGGAAATGGAAACAAAACCTTTGTTTTGGCACATTTATACATGCAACACTGATGACCCATCTCTCTGAACAATTCTTCTTCTTCTACTTGTTTGATTTACGGTTGGGAACACATCGTGGCGTCTCTCTGAAAACTGAAACACTAAAAAGAGTCTTCGAAGCTATATTACGCATATTAATGAAGTTGCATCTCGTTCATAATAGAGTGTGCTGATTGGTTTGAACCAAGTCTTTCTCATGAATTGACGCTGAATTGATGTGCTGAAAACTCAATGATGTCACATTGTAGTGACTGGTACAGACAGTAAATCTTCACACTGGAATTTACACAATGATCTCATGGCCGTTCTGCAGCTTTAAAATTTTGTTTTAAACCGGAAGAACAAATTTGCTCTAAACAACACAAAAACAACCAATTGTCACTTTTTTTGTGAAATATATCAGTCCTAATAGTGTTTTTAGCAGCGTGGGACATAAATATGACTGTCAACGTCTCAAAAAATGTGTTTTGGGGTTTCGTGACGCTTTAATTGTGTGGTGGCAAATCTGACCTGCAGCTGTTTAGAGATGAAGCTGATGGTGCTTTTACAGACAAACACATTATCCACATTTGCCCAAAAATACAAACTAGTCATGTTTAACTACATACTTACATTATCTATAACTTAAAGAAGTTTGTCTGAATTATTTTAATTTTTTTTACTTTTTTTCAGTTTCATACAAGTTGAATTTGTGTGGTTTTGGATTCAGCGTCTGTTCAAACAAATGTTTTACTTTTATTACTAAGAGCTTTTACACAAGAGTTAAGCTGTGCAAACACTAAGCTTTGTTCTGGTTGACACTGTTCACTTAACTGTTCACTTAAAATTGTTCGGTTAATTCTGAATTACTTAAACTGAAGTCTATAAAAACTAAATAGAAATGTGTTCACAATATAAAAACTACACCAAAACAACAAAATCATTAATAAACTAAACTGATATTTAAATATTGCATTGAATTAATAACTTTTTTAAAATGTAAAACTATATTAGTGTATAGTGTATAATAGTAGCTATAAAAAGTGTTTGATTGGCCTGTCTCCATCTCCTCCTATTCCAGCAGCTGGCTGTTGCAGATGGAGTTCTTCCTGATCCAGCCGGACCAATCAACACACATGCAGACCAGAATAACCAAAGTGAGAAGATGCCTGCTCCTCCAGTCGTCCAATCAAATGGAAGCTGTGCTCCTTTGATCAATGGCAACGTGAAGGAGGTGGGGCCAGGAGCTGAAAACTCCAATCAGGAAGACAGGGAGGAGCCAGCTGCCAATGAACACGATCTGTCCTCTAAGGACAAACCTGTTTTTGTGGAAACAGAACATTCCAAAGAGGAGGTACAGGAATCCTCTTGAGTCGCCATAGTGTTAGCACATCAGCCGTTAGGACTGAAATGCCAAAGAACAAATGAAAGCATGCATAAAGTTGTGTTCCCACAACAGAAGCCATCGCAATAGAAAAAAAAACAATCATTTAAACGGCAGTGTTCTTCTGCACACCATGTTGTGATGGTGTACTGATGTTTCTATCACTGTGTGGATTGTTTTGTCCAGTTATATCTGTTCTGAACATTCCCAAAATGTTAAAGACATGTATGTGGCATGATGATTAAAAGCTAGGTGCTTTGATCATAGGCAATGAGAATCATCTGTTTTGTTTAAATGCCCAATTGGATCATATTTCATCTTGTTTCACTGGAAACAAACACAAAATGTTACAGGAAAACAAAATGTATTGTACATTTGAAAACCTGAAACGGATTTATTCAGATGCATAGGTGTCTGATCAGAAAATCAGCTTGATAAAGGGAACACTGTTAGAAAATGGATCAAATTATTATTATTTTTGCATATTATTTTGCTTGAGAGTGCCAGTGAGCTGTGCAATTTGAATTAAAGGGGAAAACAGCTTTTTTAATTAAATATTATAAATATTTGTCATTTTAGCCAAGCCTTTTACATATTTCGCTTTCCAAAGCAATATTTTGATGATGTCTACTGGACTTGATGAGTGTATTGAGTGTATTGCGAAAGCATGTGGGAAAAAAATGTAAGATTTTTAGGTCTAGACTAAAGTTTAAGTTCTAACGTGAGATGAAAAATCAATGTTTAAAGCGCTTCATTCATGAGAAGTGTTTGCTTACATTATTTTTTTATTGAATTAAAAAGGAAAAAATGTTTTCTGTTGAATAAACGCTTAGCAATACACAATAGGAAATTCTGAAATAAGCAATGAAAGTAAAGCCATTGGAAATAACAGACTGTGGTGACATACTGCTGTTGTTTTTAAAACTGTAGAGTTTTGTTTTGTGTAATAATTTCTACACGTCATCATTTTATACACTTTGTTTTGATCATTGTACTGTTTTGTATCTTTTTGTACACCATTCAATTCAAATGGATGTTTGTTTTAAATAAATACACTTTATTAAATGTGCGTTATATGATTATGTTGTTATTAATATTAATACTTTGTGTGCATGATAATTAGTAGCAAATACGTTTTCACAGAAAAAGTCAACTACAACAACATTGTACACGTTGACGTCTGTTCTGTTGATTTTTATGCTTGGGAAACATTAAACCCATATCTCAAACTGGTCTGTGTGAATCCTAGTGGCGGCGTGCGGGTGGTGTTTGCGGGCACAGCGCCCCCTCTGGTCGCCCGCAGAACATCTTCCGCTGCTCGCCAGTGTTTGGCTTATTATTAGCTCGGTGAGTGTCCTTGAGACGAAAACACACTTTAAATATCTGCTATATTGTTATTTTGTATAAATGTAGTGGTTTAAAACGTTACATTGTGTTCTTGTTTAACAGCCGGCTCGGAGTGAGCGAGTCGAGCTCAGTGTTATTTACAGACAGTGGAGTTAAATCCACCGAGCTCAAAGAGCTGGAGATACAATTTCCTTCCGTATGCGATCAGTATTACTCTTAAAATGAGTTTGCGGACGTGTAAAAGCTCGTAAGAATATAGTTTTGCTTCTATTTATGCGTTTTTATCTCGTCTGCTAACTGGCTAATAGTTAACTGACCGTTTGTTTTGCTAGTAACGTTAGTCTGTGAAAAGCTGATTGACATGAATAAAGTTGAACAGGATACAGCGTTCTGATGTTTTCAAGCTCGCATGAAAGATGTCATCAGAGAAATTTGTTTCATCATTAAAAATGCTAAACAACAGTATTCAAATTTATAGCTTTCGTGTGTTAAGCTCAAAGGGGGACTTTTATCACTTTTATTATACTTTTTTTATCTGAATATATTTATCCCTTTCTAATTAGTTCAGTTCATTCAATTGGTTTTCATTTATAAACGTTTTAATACCGACACACTTTTGTTTGTTCTATTCTATTTATACATTTATTTTAATCTAACCGTAACAAATTAAACTAGGAAGTTATGTTATTTACATATGCTATTATGTTATTTACATGTACATATTTCTGTTCTTGTGTTGCCTTCTGTTGTTTTCACTTCATTTAAAATCTACTGACCTGCTTACATAGTTTTTTTCAGCTTGATTTTAGATGGCAACTCGTGATTTTCCAGCATTATTTTCACCAGAGGCACTTAAAACTCAATAGAGCCATCATTAGACAGCAGTTCTGCACAGGAAGTTTGGCCAGAGGAGACATGGTTGTGCCCAACTGAGCCTGGTTTCTCTTGAGTTTTTTTTCACCTTTATTTGCATAGCAAAGCAGTGAAATTTGACAGGAAAGCATGGGGAACAGAGAGGAGGGAAGGATTGGCATAGGACCATGAGACGGAATCGTGTAACAATGCATGTGTTGACGCACTAACCACTACAGCCGAGTTTTTTTGACCTTCACTTTCGTCAGTTGGTGAAGTTTTGTTCCTCGCCACTAGCTTGTTTGGTTTGGTACTTGTGGAGCTGCAGATCAATGGATTTGCTCTTCAGTGTTTGGACTTTCAGCAGTGAAAATTAACCCACACCACACTGAACTGAAAACTGAACTTCAACTCTGAAACCTGTACTGTCAGTTCTAATATACTAGAACTTCTATTTTAAGCTGCTTTGACACGATCTACATTATAAAAGCGCTATAGAATTAAAGATGAATTCAATTTGTGCACGTTTCTCTGCAGGTCTCCTCTATGCTCCAGCTGCGGCCGGTGGAGGAGGATGAATCAGCTGCTGAGAGTCTTGAGCTGAACCGAGCCGTGGCAGATGATGACCATTTCCTGTTGGCCGAGCTGCTGTCACAGGAACGCTACAGGAAGTGCATCAATCAGCAGAGCGGTTGGGGCATCCCTGGTACCCCATTACGCATGGCTGCGTCCAAAGGTATTTGGGCCGCGCATTTGTATCACATTTCAGTTTGTTGGTCACCTCAGTGACTGAGCATATATGACCACATGCATTGTCAGGTTATTATTTAGTTACAAAGGTGCATGTGAACTCACTCTCAGTAGGTTTACATTGACAACAATATTCTTTTAATATTCTAAAAGCAACTTGTGTAAGTAGTCCCATTCAGAATACGGTAAATAGCTAAGACTCTAGAATACACAAGACGTGTCACTTGTATAGTTTGGAATGGGGGAAAGTGTAATTGTCAATATGGTTAATGAAGCCCCGCCTTCTAGTACTGGAGCCAATCACCAATCACTATAGGCTGAAGATCCTCCGGGGGAGGGGCACGGACCAGACTTGAGTTTCTGCAGATTTTGTGTGATTCGAATGTTTAGAAATGAAACTAAAGAGACAGTTGTTGTTTAATTTTATTCGTGATTACTAATATGAAATGTAATCGAAAGCTTGGAAAGAAATTTTTGGAGAATTTGATGTTTCTTCATTCAAACAGAATGCCCGAGCATACTGCCTGAGAAGCGTTTCAAAAGCCCCTTTCACACATACAGACCTTTCCAATTTTCTGGAAAGGTTGTATGTGTGAACAGGTCCTTTTTGAAAATACCGGTAAATTGTTCTGGCTATTTTCCGGAAAGTTTCAATTTGCCGGAATGCTGCGCTGTGTGAATGCAGAAGGAAGATTGCCGTAATAAGCGCATGCACGTCTAGAACGTGCTGACGTGAGACGTCTGCTTTAGCCAATCACAACAGTCAGACGCATTTACGTCCGTGCGGTTTGTGAGGATAAAAGCCTTTAAATATTTTTCCAGACACATTTAGCTGCTAGAAGTTAGTCAGATCACGTTTATATGTTCTTCTTAATGCCAACTGTGTAAATAATCATCGATGAGATGCTTATGATAAGCCGTTGTTTGTTTACCTTCAAGCTTTGCGTGCGCCTATGAGCGCCTGCACACGCACATATTATGAGAATCTCGACATGCGAAAGTGATCCTGCGAAAGTTGTTCACAATATTGATCATCCACAGAGTTTGTAATTTAGTCAAATGTTTACAAATTCAAGCGCAGCCGTTTAAAGCTCATTTGTGGTGAATGATGTCAGAATTTACCGGTATTTTGGAATGGATGTGTGAATGCTCTTTTCCGGAAAATTTCCGTAACGTCCTCGCCTGTGTGAACAGCGCTTTTTTCAATATACCGGTAAAGTCGTTCCGGAAATTTTCCAGAAATTTACCGGTATCACTGTGTGAAAGGGGCTAAAGATGGCCGGCGAGTAAAATGACTTTCCTTAAACGGACTTTGTAAATAGTTCAGTTACTGATGTAAATGCTTCATTACTGACGCAACAAAAACCTTCTCTTGCAGGTCATCTGAGGTGCCTGCAGTTGCTTCTGGCTCACGGGGCAGATGTGGACCGTCTGGATGTAAAAGCCCAGACTCCTCTGTTCACGGCAGTTTGCGGCCGTTATTTGAGCTGCGTTCTCGCTCTGCTCCGCGCTGGGGCTAATCCCAACGGCAGTCACCTGAACAACAGCTCGCCCGTCCTCACTGCCGCCCGAGAGGGAGACCCCGAGATCCTCCGCCAGCTGCTTCAGCATGGGGCAGAGGTCAATGCCAGGTCAAAGGTCACGCTGTGGGCATCAGGGGTCGCTGTTTGCAGCGGGCCGCTTTATCTGTCGGCTATATATGGACACCTGGACTGCTTCAAAATGTTGCTGTTATTTGGTGCAGATCCGAACTATAACAGTCCGGAAGAAAAGCTGAACGGTAGGGCCACCCAGCAGAAAACGGTCATGGAGTTGTGTTTGAGACACGGCTGTGGAGTGGAATACATTCAGCTGCTCATTGACTTTGGAGCAAACGTCTACCTGCCCACTCTTATTATAGAGAAAAGCACCAAACAGAATGAAGCTGTTGAGCTGCTGCTGAAAGAGAGAGGTGAGAAAACTCTATTGTGTTTCTTCTTCTTTTCAAATTTCCATGTTGCTATTACTATTAGTGTTATTTTTTCTAAAATGTTAAGATATTTTACCAAGACAAACATGGACAAGACAGAACAGAAGAAAGAAAGGCAGTAAAATAGATAAAAAAACACACTGAAGTGTTAATATAAATACAAAAATTAAAAATAAGTCCAGGTCAGTGAGTAGCACTGCCACCTAACAGCAGGAAGGTTTCTGGTTCGAGTCCCAGCTGGGCCAGTTGGCATTTCTGTGTGGAGTTTGCATGTTCTCCCTGTGTTCGCGTGGGTTTCCTCCAGGTTCTCTGGTTTTCACCACAGTTAAATCGGCCATAGTGTATGAGTGTGAATGGGAGAATGTATTGGTGTTTCCCAGTACTGGGTTGCAGCTGGAAAGGCTTCCGCTGTGCACAAAATATGTTGGATAAGTTTGCGTTTCATTTCACTGTGTTGACACCTAATGAATAGAGGGACTAAGCCGAAACAAAATGAATGAAAAATAAATCCATTTAAAGACAAAAGGAAAGATGCGTTGTTGTTGTTGTTGTTACCTAAATTGTTCATTATAATTTTTAATACTGTTAAAGTTGAAATATTTTTGCCACTTGAAAAAACTCTGGAACAAAAATAAATAATACATGAGAAAAATTAAATAAAATAGATAAAGTTATTAATGTTACCTATTAACAAATGTTAGAACATTTATTAAATAAAATATGCTGAAGTACTAAAATTAATTAAGCTAAATAGGAATATTTAGAAAGAAAACTAAAACTGTTGTCAGAGTAATTGGTGGTCCATTCTGGTGTGGCGACCCCTGATCAAGCAGGTAATAAGCTGAAGAAATGGAGTGAGTGAGGTAAAAAAAATCTCAAAAAAAAAAAAAAAGCCTAAGTAAGAATGATGTAAAAGCTGGAAAAATAAGAATAAAACTTACTGAAAATACTAAAACATTGAGATTTTAAATTAAGAGAACAATATAACATGTATAGTAAGAAAATAATAAGCAAAATAACACGAGTAGCAACAGTGAAATATGGCTGTATATCGGCACTGGTGGGATATATGCATTAGTGTCCCACCAGTGACTATATACAGCCATATCACAATAATTAACCCCGAAAAAGCCAAAGCTGTGCAAAAACTAGCAGATTACTATGGTATAAAAACAGCACTAGAACAGACAAAAGAGAAAGATTGACTTAGAATGCTACTTATCTGATGTATAATGATTTGATCAGCTGTAGAAATCCAAAAAGAAAACGATGAGTTTTTCTCCCCTAAGGACTTACTATCCAGTCTGTCGCCAGCTTGTGGTGGAACCATCTTTTCTCTGCTCAGTACAACATCTCCTAAATGATAAATATTTAAAATAGCCACTTTCCTTACAAATAAACTGCATAGTTGCAATCTAAATAATAACTACATTCTCACCTGAAAACCCCTTAAAGATACATTATGTTGTCTAACAACTGCAATATTTGTCAAACTATCGAGTTTATTGATCTGCTGTCACTCTGTGTGGGCGGATTAATACACGAGTGAAAAGGCTGTAGGAGTTCTGATATTGCAGAATATTGTACAGCTAATAGCCAATCAGATTTGAGAACCAGACAAAACTGTTGTATAAATTTATATATTAATCAGTTACATAGTTTGTTTCCTGTGGATGCACCTTTACGTAAGTTTAATAAGATGTATTTTGTCATGATTCAAAGAGGGTGGTTTCAAGGATGGCTGCTGAGTGGTGACTTTGACAGTATACACATCAATTTAAAATAACACTATCATTTGTTAAATAACATTTTTAACACTGTTTTTTTTCCACAGGCTGCCCAAAGAGTCTTGCTTCTCAGTGTAGATTGACCATTCGCCGACACCTGATACAGGTGAACAAGATTCAGTGTTTGGACTCTCTGGAGATTCCCTTCAGACTCATCAACTATCTCAAACACAAGCCTATGAACACTGCGCTGGTTCACTGACAAACGAGAGCCAATGCAACTGTGCCTTTAGTAAAGGACAGACTCATTTACACATCGACTAAAGCAGACAGTCCACTGCAATCTCAAATGGACTGACGCACCGCTAACAAACCCTGGTTTACATATGTGGAGTGTTGAACATCCTCATACATAGTTTTGCTTGATTATGTGGAGTTGATACTAGAACTGCTCATTGTCATACAGCTCAATCACATAGAGCTGCTGTAAGAATGATTTTTATTGAATCATAAGTGTTTTGTTAATCGATAACAGCTTAAAGGAAGATGTACAAATGTTGCTGATTGTCTTCTTGATCTTTATGTGGTAATTTGTCTATGAATACCTTGTTTAGAGGAGATTTACTGTTCTAACAGGTTTCATTGTGAAAGTAGCATGTCATGGAGATCTTTCTGAGGTTAAAGACTTCAAAATGAAGATCGTCTGAAGGATTTAGCACACGGCTGTTAAAGTATCAGGCTAAAAGATTTAAAAAGCATACCAGTCTGTGTTAAATGGGATCTTATGGGCTTATGCAAGTGTATTTCAACAACATTATTGCTATGGATGACAGCTGGCTTGCTAGTTTGTTCATTAAATGGTTGAACATCTGCGTTTTTGTCTGTTGCTGTTTGCTGTATATGTGCACTTATTGGCTGGTTTGCCTGTTCCTGTTGAGGATTTGAGTTTTTCATGTTATAGTTTTAGAGCCACTGCTCCTCCTTATCGCGAGAAGTCCGCAGAGGTGGCTTGGGCATCTGTTTCGGATGCGTCCTGGACGGCTACTGTACCTAGGGAGGTGTTCCAGGCATGTCCTACCAGGAAGGAAGATACAGGACACGTTGGAGGGACTATGTATGTGGAGTTCTTACCTAAGACTGCGGCCTTCATGACCCAGCCCCGAAAGCGGATGAAAATGAAATGAGATTGTTAAAGGGCTGTAAGAAAAATGTAACAATAACAATATACATAATATATATAATATACATAAATGACATATACATTTAATAATAATGATGATAATAATAATTCCTGATATTCTTACAGCACTTTTCTGTACACTTAAATCGCTTTACACATTTTTGGGGGAATGCCCTTATCCCTCACCAGTGTGCAGCATCCAGTTGGATGACGTGACAGCAGCCACATTGCACCAGACTGCACACCACACACTAGCTGATTGATGGAGACAAGTGATGAAGCCAATTATGATATGGCAATGTTTAGGAAGCCTTGATGGACAGAGGCCAGTGGGAATATTTGGCCAGGATGCCAGGGTTATAACCCTACTCTTTTTATTTTATTTTTTTTGAAGGACATCCAGGGATTTTTAACGACCATAGAGAGTCAGGACCTCGGCTTTATGTCTTATCCGAAAGACAAAGAACGTTTACACTAAATATAATCGAAATAGAGTTTTATATATTTTGTAGAGACCCTATATTGTTAAAACGTGTGTATCATTGATGAGTCTAAGTTTTATTTTAAATATTTAGTTTTTATTAAGTTTTTATTTTACACATTTTACCGTTTACTTATCCAAATGTTTCACATTCATTTCTATTGATATATATTTTTTGCTTTACAGTATTCAACATTTGATGTAGATCAAAAATTGATGTACTATTATTTCAAGAGTTTGCCCTTAGCTGATGATTGATTATGGAGTAGGGGTGGAAGGGGGGATTCTTCAAGACGAAGATGGCTGAAGTAAGATACTCTGGTTAATTATAGTGGTTAAGGAGTCGTCTGATTGGTAAATCAGTGTTAGATAATGTGGACCAGGTGCCATCAATCATAAGCACGTGTTTCTTTCAAAATTAGTTTATAAATAAACTTCACTTAGAATTGTTCATTACACAAGGTTTTGGTTGACTTCAAATGCTGACTATATTTTATTTAATACAATGATGATTTATTCTCGTTTGAAATTATAAATTTTTATAATATCTAAATTATTTTATAATTCTTTATTTTCATTAAAATGTAGTCATTTTTATTTGTTTTAATGTGTTTATCTTTTTAAAAATCTTTAACTATCTTGTTTTACCACTCATTAGTTAATTATTATTCATTTCTTTATTTTATTTCGGCTGAGTCCCTTTATTAATTTGGTGTAATTCACCTTTATTTGTATAGCCTTTTGCAATGTAGAATGTAGATGTAGCCACAGTGGAATGAACCGACAACTTATCCAGCATAAGTTTTATGCAGCGGATACCCATCCAGCTGCAACCCATCACTGGGAAACATCCATACACACTCCTTCACATACACTACGGACAACTACTCACCTGTACTGCATGTTTCTGAACTGTGGGGGAAACTGGAGCACCCAAAGGAAACCCATGCAAACACAGGGAGAACATGCAAACTCCACACAGAAATGCCAACTGACCCAGACAGGGTTCGAACCAGTGATCTTCTTGGCGATTGTGCTACCCACTGCGCCACGTGCTGCCTATTATTATCATTATTTACAAAACATACTTGTAATTCTTTAAGCGTCGATTCTGTTTCCTTTCTACTTGTCGTTACTTTTTTTAAGAGTAAGCAAATATAATAAGAGTATGCAAAACATTTTGAAGAGTAAAAATAGAAGTCAGCAACATACTACATTACCCAAGATGCACACCGCACGGAAACACCGCCAGCAGCAGCAGCTCCAGTGCTCGGCGAACAAAGTGAATCACAGCCGTGAGCTCCTGCAGCGCTGCGTGAGGAGAAAGCTCATCACTGCACTCTGTGACGGACAAGATGGAAAATAAGGCGAGTATCTCTAATATTTCCGTCTTTGTGTAATACTGGCTCTAACATAGTAAACCCGTGAGAGTGGACGCGCAGAAACAGCTGTTCACGATGCGAGGTTTGCTGAATATCAGCGCAGCAGTCGCGAGCTGTTAGCGTACGGCTAGCGCGCTCCAGTTGCGCGTTCATTCACAGGGATGATGGTGTCCAGCTGGGGACACTATGTGCAATCTGTTGATAAAACTTCCCTTTTGTTATTAGTCATATTTTGGTGGGTTTAGTTTGTGTTTGGGTGTAGTTCTTTGGAGTGCGGCTGTGTGTGGATCTTGTTTTCTTTGTTTATGATGTTCATACAGTGAGGGTTCACAACAGGCCCTTAAGCTTCAGTCAGCTTTTGTTTTGATTAAATCCAGCGGAACTTCACTCTCGTTCTGTGGTGCTTTTTAGACTCAATGCTTAGCTGTTTTTGAATTGTGTAATTGTAGGCTTCATTTTGTTTTGCCAATGTTATTTAAAATGTAAGCGCCCACATTTCATGATATGCATGTTTCATTCAATTAGTTTTAACCATTAGGGGAACTTCTCAACAATGCTCATTTGTTCAATAATGGCTAACATGTTTTACATTATAGTTGTGGGGTAAACTGAATGTGGTAAATTAAATATTAATTGTTTACTGATTTGTTTTTTTTTTATTGAAAATAATTTTTTTAATGTATAAACATGAATCAGTTTGAATGTCAGTCTAAGTCAGTGGTTCCCAAAGTGGGAATCGCAGGACAATAACAGGGGGTCGTTTTGTGATTTCTAAAAGTTAAGTACATTTATTAAACTATTAGAATTACCATATTTTATCCATAACCCACAGAAGATAAAACAGTAGTCGTTATATAAAAAAACGACATCATGCAAATGAAAAGCCATCAGCCCTTCTGTTATTTTTTTTATATGATTGTGTTTACGTTAGATTAACACCACAGCAATAGCGTCAACTGCAGCAGATTGATTTTAGCACCAGGTTAAACTTTCTGACACCTTTATGGCAATTAAATGCATTATAAATAAATAGAAGCTACAACTGAACATTGTGGATGATCTGTGAGTGGCTGTCTCCAAAATTAAACCAAGAATAGACTTGTGCTAAAAACATTGTGCCCACCAGTCTCTTTTGCTGAGGTTAATAATACATTAAGCTAATTAATAAACAACTATGAAATGATATGGTTGTTAAGACTGTTGCACTATTTGTGTTGAATATATTTTAGCGCAGTGAAACCGTTATATTTTTATCTAAGGTTATCATACCATCAGGATTTTATGGAAGGTGAGCCAATGATGATAGAATGATAATCATTTTGGGTGAACTGTCCCTTTAAGCAAGTAAGGAAATTCTATTATGCTTTATTTAGCAAGACAGACACAAAAATGATCTTTTGTGGACATTGTATACAATAGTATTTTGTCTCTGTCTCTTTTTCCACAGTCAAACTTTTGAATTTAAATTGATTGGTACCTGTTAAACACGTATAGAAACTTGCATGACATTAAACAAAATCAACATGTTTTAAAATAAAATAAACTATTTTGAATATTAAACCTCAATGGATAGTTGCTCAAATATGGGTATAATTTTTTGCAAAAGAGTTTTTTTAATGATGTTTTTTTCCCTATTTCTTTTACAGGTAGAACATGTCAGATAAACACAGTCCTCATCTGTTCCAGCCTGCCTCTCAGGGTGGAGTATTTAACACAGATATGCTCCATTAGCCACAGTCACCTGTGTCATTATGGAGATCGCCACAAGATGTGAGGTTGGTGCAATGAGGGGTCCATCGTCAGACTCCGTTTCCCATGATATCCCTCAACCACAGTCACCCCCTTCTGTGAAAATACGGAAGACAGCTTTCAAATTTTTTGGAGGTCGCAAAAGCATATGTGTTCTACCTAGCTTTTTTGGAGGCCGTGGCAGAAGTCAAAGAAAGGGGTCATCAAAAACAGGAGTAACAAAAAGCCAGACATATGATGGGGTGAGCCGAGCATGCTGGGATGATTTGGGTAGAAGTAGCAGTGAAGTGGCATCAGGGGACTTTGAGTTCTGCAGTGAACCTCAGAAATCACAGGAGGATCATGGGAAGTCACAGTCTTTGCCTAGACAGCGCAGGGGCCTTCGAGGACTTTTCAGCAGCATTCGGAGACACAGGAAAAACAAAAATGTTGAAGTAGAAAAGCGGGAAGCACTTGAAATGTCTTCAAGCTTCCATGCCAAAACAGTGCCTGGTGCCCTGCCGAGTGTCAGTGACCGTGGCGATTACCATGGAGACAGTCAGGGTGAAGAGCTGGTGCCAGATGTGCCTAATCAAACCACAGGCAGTGAGTGTGAACTGCCTTTGGCTGCCACTGAATGTACGATAGATGTAACACTAGTGCCTGAAAAAAGGAGGAGCAGAGTAGAGATGGATAAGAGGAGGAGAGCAGAAGAAGAGGGGATTGGAGAAGATGAGAAAACTGGCAGACAGGAAGGACTGATGACATATCATCAACCCTTGTCTGCTGAGTCTGAATTGGATCGTTTGGCTGAGCAAAATGTGGACGTTCCTGATGGAGAGCCACCTGTTGCATCCTGCTCCTCTGAGAACTTAGTCTTTGGTGATGTGTCATCATTAAAGAGCTTTGATTCGCTGACCGGTTGTGGAGATATCATTGCAGACCAGGATGATGTCAGTGTCGCCGAGAGCTCAGTGTCTGCTGACAGAGGCAGTCGAAATGCAGGAAAACGTAGCTCATGTTTTGTCACATATCAAGGTGGGGGGGAAGAGATGGCAACCCCGGATGAGATAGACGCGGATTACTTGCAGAGCTTATGGGAGTCAGAAACTAGTAATGAAGTCTGCTACATCCCCTCAGATAGGGGCTCAGATAGCCCTTCACTCACCCCTGATCAGCAACTGAGCTCTATCCGTGCCACCTCCAGCAGCAGCCCAATGGGAATCACAGAAACTGCTCTCACTCCTGCCGACCTCTTGAGTCCACAGAGTGATCGGCAGGAGTCGGTACCCAACAGTGACGAGGGTTACTATGACTCCACCACGCCAGGGATGGAAGAGGAGAGTAGAGAACGTCCACACCAGGAAAGGCTTCCACGGGACAGCTACAGTGGTGATGCCCTTTATGAACTTTTTGAGCCTGACGATCGCCTGCTCAGTCCTTCTCTTCCTCCCAAGGATGCCCACTCATTTGTTGGTGCACCCTTGCAGGCTGATAAGAGTCCAACAAACCCGCTATACTCCTTGGCATCTACTGCAATAGAAACAGGAGCCATGGAGACAGAGGAGGAGCGCCTGAGCAAGATCCAACATGCCCTTCTGTGCTGTGAGCTTCAGAATCTCAGGAGTCCATCCAAAAACCAGCTTTTGTTCCATTCCGACTGCTTTTATGATGATTCGAACCTTCCAGTTGATGATAGTAAGCAAGATTTGCAAGAAGTTATCAATCAGCGCTATCCCCAATCCCCACCAAGATCCCAGGCTGTTAAAGAGGGAGTCCCTCGCATCAGGGGTCAGGTTCAAGAGAGTTCGTTATTCGCACCCTGTGCTGATTCGGTGTTGAATCCACAAGTCATCGAGACAACCAGACCGCAGCCTCAATCTGACGATCAAGGCTCATTACGACCCTCCAGAGGCTGCAGCCAATCCCAAGAAGAGCTGATGGTCTGTTTCTCCCAAGCCTTGGTAGATTTTACAAAGAACACCCGGCTTTACCGCAATTCAACTGAAAGTCTTGATGGCTCTGAGTCAAGTTCTCCCTTTGGCCCAAGTCTGAGAGCCCTGCCTGCCATTGTAACATTCGATGTGGTTGATATGGAGAATGAGGGTGAGTGTGAGCAGCAGACTGACCTTGCAGAGGAAGAGGAAGAGTTGGCATCTCCTTATGAGCCATTCGAAGATGATGGCTGTTACCTTCAACAAGATGCCTTTGCTGAGTGTGACCAGCGTACTTTTGATGCTTATGAACAGAGTCTGCTGCTCAGCAATGCTTGGGGAATTGCAAGCCTTCCTCGGCACCTCAGTTTGGGTCGACCTTGTCCACCAGTCCCTGCCCCTTTAGCACTAAATCGCCGAAGTCGCTCACTTGACACAGACAGTCTGGAGTTTCAGACAAGTGAAATTTACACAAGCGTAACCAAGTATGACTCAAAAGGCACTGCATTTTCACAGAGCAGGACTGTTGATTGTAATGATATGGATTTTCCACGACAACCCTGCAGAATTACGGTTGACAGCTGGAGGAGGGGCTACAGACAGAATTTTGATTCCAGCAATGCTTCTCAGCAAGAACTGAAGTTGCCACATTTGAGCCAATCCACTGTCAGACCTTCACACCTGCCCCTAAAGAACAATTGCCGTAGTCGTAACCTCCCTGCTGCCACTAGAGTGGATGGTGAGGGGGAGATTTTATTTGGTGGAGGCGATGCGCTTTATCCGTGCAGTTACCCCCCTATGGGCACACAGTGGAAGAATCGGCCTGTCGGGGTCACCCAGGGTGTGCCACATCTTCGCTCTGAGCAATCTGCAGACCATCAAGAAATCACAATGAAGAACAGGAGGGGGGAACTTAAGGGTGGCTTCACGCCTGCACCCCCCAAGTTATGAACAATATTCCCCCACTCAAAATGAAACCGTAATACAAATAGACAAGTCTCGTCACCAAAGACGATGCTGGATGTTTACTGACACTCTTGAATTGTATGGCACTCTCACACATACACACTATAGTTGCTGTTACTGCCGGATAAGCTATTGTATTCTTTTGTGAGGTATTGTGTAGTTTTTTGAGCTGTTTTAGTTTCTGTGAGTTTAAGAGGATGTGCATTTGTACATTGTGTGTTACAACAGTTTTCAGCAGGTGCTGTCTATATATAGATGCCATATTGCTTTGCATTTATGTAGCCAGGAATTGCCATTGAAATTGATCCATATTGTTCAGATGTTTTTTTTTTTATATATTTGCAAAGAGGACAACAACGACACTATAAATGACTTATTTTAGAGTAAGTATTAAACCCTGCAATAGCATTAAAACCAATACAATCTTGCAAGCCTATTCAAACATCAAGCTTAGTTTGAACTGATGAACAAATTCTTTTTTAATACAAGTTATTTTTTTCAATTTCACAATATGCTGTATGTTTCAAGCTATCAATGTTTGCATCTTGAAACGTTTTAAAGGGTACCTATTTTACCCCTTTTACAAGATATAAGCTAAGTCATTGGTGTCTCCAGAATGTGTCCGTTTTAGCTCAAAATACCCATCAGATTATTTATTATAGCCTCCAGAATTTGCCCATTGCAGGGTTTGAATATGCTGTAGCTGTTATTGTAGCCTTTGGCTTTAAATCCAAATGAGCTGCTTCTCCCCGCCCACCACTTCCACATGCGTGTCTGCTTCTCATCATGCGTTACGTCAGATAAACAGCAGTCAGTGATAGAGACAGACTCGGATGAAGCTGAAATACAGCTCATTAGTCAAAAATTGAATTTATTCAAACCTTTCTGAAATGATGAGCCTCACACCTATGCTAGTTGCTGTAAACACCCATACACATTTTCTGACACCATATGGCCGTGTTGATTATAGTGGTTAAGATTACATAGCGATTGTACTCGCTTTATAACAAACAAGCTCTTTTATAAATGTTTAAACTTCTAAAACTTATTGAAATCACAGAGAGTTGGAACATATATTTTAAATAGTTTATTTGCAAAAAAATCTGCACGTGTTAAGTTGTTATAGAAACATGGCGCCTGTCAATCAGTTTGGTGGGCGGGGAAAACCTCACTTCTACGTCACGTTGTTGTGTGGGCCTCAAAATCACTGGGATTTGGTCCTGTTTTAACATCAGGAAATTTGAAAAAAGACACTTGTTGTGTTTATAACACTCCAATATGACAGTTGACACACTATACATTCACAAAGTTCTGTCCAGACAGCTTAAAAATGTAGATTTTCTTCATAGGTGCCCTTTAAAACATGTTGTTTAGTGTCACACTACACTAGTGTCAGTTGTTTTTATTGTCATTTGTTATTTCGGCACAGCACACACTATATTAAAAGGACAGTTCACCCAAAAAAATGTACTTGCGCTCAAGTGGTTCCAAATCAAATTTTCAGTACATTTTTAAAAAGCTGAAAACTTGTAACAATCAACTTCTATAACAGTGGTTCTCAAATTTTTTTCATCAAGTACCACCTCAGAAAAAAATTGTCTCTCCAAGTACCCCCAAAATGAGCAGTATTGAAATACAGTAGTGTATTAGGCCCAGTAAAGCAGCTACAACTCTGCACAGTTAAAAAAAACATGGCACATTACCTCAGAAATAGGCTATATGTCATATATGGCATACTATATACATCATTTTTGATAAATTTTGAAATATATGTAGCATGTACATGCCATATTTCATTCCTCCGCGTACCACTAGAAGGAAGCCCGCGTACAGTTTGAGAACCACTGTTCTATAGGATTTGTTTTTCCTAATATGCAAGTTAGTTGTTACAGGTTTTCAGCTTCTTCAAAATTTCTTCTTTTGTGTTAAACAGAAGAAAGAAACTTCTATGGTTTGGAACCACGTGAGGGTGAGTAAATAGTAAATAATTTTTTTAGGTGAACTAACCCTTTAATGGAAAAAATGCCTGTTAAATCACATTTGCCATATTCAGTGGCATTTTAACCAACACCAGTGTTGCACATCTGTACACTGTATTTACTAAAGACTCCAGCAACTGTCTAGATTCTGGATGAGTTCATTTGCTGCTAAACATGATTGTTTTGGAGTACTCCAGTACATAATGTATTAACGTGTAATGTAAGCACATTTGAGTACTCTCTGCATACATCCAAGTCAGTTCTGGCTTAAAGTCTTCAGCAAATATGATCCATGTAGTTGATAATCAAAGGGTACTATCTTGAGTCATCTGAGACGGAATGTCAGTAAAGCCTTTAATGACGTTATGTGATTGTTCTCTGCTGTTGTACTACAGTCACGATCATCTACCCTCATCTGAATGCCAAAGTCAGCTTAATGCACTTACCATTTTTAGTCAGTGCTTATATTCAGCTCTTAACAATGAATCGACCTTTGCGTTTCCATGCAGATGAATGTAGTGCTGTTCATTGTTTCCTTCTTTTGTTTGGTACATTTGTGTGATTGAAAATGAATGTCTTTCCCTGCTTTTTGGACCGACATAAGTCAAATCAGAAAGCTAAAATAATATCTGGTGGTCATTTAATACACGTGGATGTACATACACAAGGAATGTTAGAAGTCTTGGCATTCATTTGAGTCTTGAGCACATCCCTATGGCACCACTGCCACAATCTGTTTCTACATTAGGATTTGAACGATGACTGGAAATAAACCTTTGCGACATCAGTGTTGCAAGTTTGTATTTTTTTTTATTAGTATAACTTATGTGTTGTAGTTAAAAATTTGGAGCCAGATTAGTCTCAAAAATAATACATTTGCAAAATATAATTCATACATCCACTACACAATTCACATTTAAAAAATCCAATTTGTAAGTTCAAAGCATGATTCAACAATACACAAATCTACATTGTAAACTCAAAACACGAATTATAAATAGCCAAATCTCAGACATAAGTTAAAAACACAACTCGTAAATACACAAATCTCATTCATAAACTCAAAACACGATTCATAAATAAACAAATCTCACACGTAAGTTCAAAACACGATTCATAAATAAACAAATCTAACAAGTAGGTTCAAAACACGATACATAAATACACAAATCTCATTTGTAAACTCAAAACACGATTCATAAATACACAAATCTCTTTTGTAAGTTCAAAGCACAATTCATAAATGCACAAATCTCATTCATAAGTTCAAAACAATTTTTAAATACACAAATCTCTTGTTAGATCAAAGCACGATTCACAAAATACACAAAGCTCAATTATAAGTTCAAAACATAAATCGTAAATACAAAAATCTCATACGTAAGATCAAAACACCATTTATAAATACACAAATCTCATACGCAAGATCAAAACATAATTCTTAAATACACATCTGAAATTTCTTTCGTAAGTTCAAAACACAATTAGTAGATACATAAATCCAATTAAAAAATTCTAAACATGATTCATAAATGCACAAATTCCATTCGTAAGTTCAAAACACGATTCATAAATAAATAAATTGAATTCGTAAATTCAAAATAAATTTCATAAATACACATAAATTTTGTAAGTTTAAAACCCAATTCGTAAATACGCAAATCGAATTTGTTAATTCAAAACACGATTCAAAAACACACAAATCGAAAGTTAAAAAACAAATCGTAAATACACAAATCCCATTCGTAAGCTCAAAACACAATTTATAATATACACAAGTCCTATTAATTTGGCGAAAATGCTTACGATGTTTTCTTGTGAATACATGAATGTGTTGTAGTTATGAATTGTGTTTTGAATTTACAAATTGTGCCGTGCATGTATACATTTTATTTTGTAAATTTATTTTTGAGACTGATCTGGCTCCATATAAATTGTGCAATCTACAAACACACACACACACACACACACACACACACACACACACACACACACACACACACACACCACAAAGATGATGGGTGTATGCAACCCCTCATAGACTTCATATCATGCTAAGTTGATAGTCTAGGGCAGGACTATCACACCTAAGCCACAGCATTAATGCCTTATTATTTCCTAAAGTGTAGTTGGCTGATTAGCAGTGCTGATGCTGAGTTTGATTGACAGGTGGTCTCTGTTCTAAAGTCAAGGAGGCTCCAGTTGTCATGGAAACTGGTTGAAGCTGTCGTACGCTTCGTATCGCGAGTTGAGGAGAACAAAATAAATATAGGCAGTTCATGACTGACAGTAATTGATGTGGCGTAATGTATTTCCCTCCCTCCCCTCTCGTGTTTCTTTTTTGCCCTATACGTTTCAGGATATGCATTGCAAACCGAAAAAGAATGAATCAGCGATCACTCGAGCAGGTTTTGGCTCCCTCTGCTGGTTAAATTGAGTAACCACTTTGTTGAACTGAATTTTTATTTGACAGGTTTTAGACAAATTGTACAACAATACAATTTTGAAAATACATTTTGAAATAAAACTGTCGAGGATAAAAACAATGACCTCTGGGCTTGTTTCCATTGTGGTCCAAGTATGGCTGCAAAATACAGTTAATGCATAAAACAAACAGTAACTCCACATTTTAAAACAGGAGCAAAATTATTCACAATACAATAACATATAAAATAAAGCATCATCATCCACCATATAAACTAACTATCCTCATTAAACAACCATCTTTTGGTCGCTTTTTAACCTTCCCAAGTCTTATTTCTTTGATTGATTTTGGAAATAAAAGAGTTAAGGAGGTTCAAATAATCGTTCAAAAGATGGTTGTTTGATGAGGATAGTTAGTTTCTCTAATCTAAATGTTTGTTTTGTGCTGATGTCATAACAATAGTTTTAGTACAGGAGTTGACAATAAAGTGTAGTCTACATTTATTAAAACTAAACTTAGGTTTAATCTACACGTTTCACAAAGCACTCAGACTAGTTGCAAAGACTCCTTGTAATTGTAAATTCAGTTGCCAAAAGGTACATTACCAGTCAAAACTTTGGGGTCAGTAGGATTTTTAAATGTTTATAAATTAGCTTCTCCTGTTTAACAAGGCTGCATTTATTTCATCAATAATACAGTACACATTGTAAAATTGTGAAAGGTTATTGCACTATAAAATAACTGTTCAAAAGTACTTTTCAGCTTCACTACTCTAGTTTTCATTCACATGATCCTTCAGAAACCACTCTAATATTAATTATTATTGTTATTATGATTATTATTACTGTTATTGATGGTAATACACTGCAAAACCTATAAAGTTTAAGGTCATTTGAGGAAACCGATTGCAACAAACCATTTAAGTTAAGATACAAATCCTGATAAGTACAGTTGACTTAATCCATTTGAGTAAACAAAGCAATTTGAGCACAGTAAAACCCAATAAATGAAGAGAACTCAAACTAACTGAGAACTGTAAAACCCAATAAGTTAAGGCAACACAAATCGTTTGAAGAAACCGATTGCTACAAACCATTTGAGTTAAAAAAAACTAATCTCTATGAGTACTTTGAACTTAATCCATTTAAGTTGAAGTAATGAGGTATTTGATTAACTCATTACCTTCAACACTGAGTTCAAAACTATTTTCCAATGAGTAGAATTAATTTTCCGTAAATTTTGAGCTAACTACACTCATTTCATTTGATAAAGATGACTGTTGAGTTTTACAGTGTAGAAATAAGAGCAATAATGACTGAAATTATGCATTCATTTGAAACTACATGCAATAAGAAAGCAGTTATTTAATCTTTTTTATATAAATGTATAAATAGTTAACAATTTAACACTTTTTTAAGAAATAATAAATGCTAGCTTGATGAAAAGAATAATTTTCTTAAAAAATAATAATAATAAAAAAACTGACCACAAACTTTTGGCCAGTAGTGTATATTGGGCTTAAATCTGAAAGGCAAGACACTTTACAACTTGTAGTTGGTGAAACTGGTACTTGAGATCAAGTCTAACATAATGGATGCTTCTGCACAAGTGTACAAAATTACTAGGTCGTTTTGTTAATGTTACAAATTTTATACTGTTACTCACTAATAAGTTTGTTTTCAGTTTTTATGCTTGCATATATTTGACTCAAACTGACATGCAAACGACCTAAACACTGGATATTTTCTCTTTGGTAATACACTGTAGAAAGCGATTAGTTAGTTTACTTCAAAAAGTGAGTAAACCTATTGCCTCAATAGCAACAAGTTGACTAAACTTGTGACTTGGAATTGTTAAATTGACTTACCTTAATTTTATAATTATGCACAAAGTTAATTTGCTTAATTTTAAGGCAACAGGTTTACTCACTTTTTTTGAAGTCAACTAATCACTTTAAAAGCAACGGGTTTACACACTTTTAAAAAGTAAAATCAAATCATAATATTGGTGTTAATCACCAATGTTTTTATACAAGTTGAAAAAAAACAGCACTCTTGAATAAACATAGAACTTCCGATTCTGTGTGGTTACTTTCAGCATGTGCCAAAACTTTCAAACAACATGTTTCCAACAGTTTTCTTGTTACAACTACACTGAAAAAAGTGTTGCATGCAGAACTGTTGCAAATAATTTATTTGTGTTGAATTTAAACAAACAAATTAAGTTTAAATTCAACACAGATAAATTGTTTACAACCACCTTACGTAAAAAAATTTAGTAAATCCAAGGAGTCATCTCTGAATAATTTTTTTCAGTGTAGTTGTCCAGTCTAGTTGTCGGTTATTTAGATTAAGAGTGCACTTTTGATTGTACTATCTAGTTTTATATTATTTTATTTATTTATTTTATTATAAAAATACATATGAAGAAAAAGAACCCCGACCCTCTCTGTCTGCCACTCCATTAGGGGGAACCCTCACCATAAAATAAAGCTGAACTTGCTGGAAACATGCAGTGTTTAGTTCGGCTACTTAGAAGAAGCTTAATCCGCAGGTGAGTCACTGTGCACAACTTGATGAAGTTGTTTTTTTACGAAACAAAGTTTCAGCGTTTGAAGCGAACCTGACGAAGCATTCGGACGCACACTTATAGATGAGTCTGTCTGTTTACTTCCTCGGTTTTGACCCCAGCCAATCAGCAGCGAGCATTCCATTGCATCAAAGCAAGATGCACACGCAGGGTTGCTAAGCGACGGCTCTATTTTATTACGACGGCCACATTATTCAGATTATTTATTGCCCGCTCAACGCTTTGAAATGATTTCCCTGACTGTGATGTGAAGGGAATGGCTGTCATGTTGACACTCTCACCTTTCTTTCAGCATGTAAACGGATGGCTGGCTGGCTGGCTGGCTGGCTGGCTCACCGACGTGCGCATATTGTAAGGTACACAGGATCTACGCTAGCTTTGGCCTGCGACCAGAGCCGCACATTGGCCATATTTAAATATGACCCATTTCCACATGGTTTGCGTGTGCATGTTGATGATGCCTACGTTGGCACGGAGCTGTGTGATGAGTCTTTCTCAGGAGAGAGTGCATTACATAAGACTTCAGTCTCTTTCCCTCGCTCCCTCATCAACCTTGGCATTCATCCCAGATGCCATGCAGACACACGGGTATTGGTGAGTTAGTACAGAAAAGCCTGTGTTTTTATTATTAATGCGATTGTTTCTTTTTCGCAAAAGAGAGTTAGGAACTATTATTAGCTTGGAAATACCATTTTTGGTGCCACTTTTCTGTTTTTGGACATTAACATGTTATTGGGAGAATATGGTGGTATACCTCAAAGGATGTTGGAGAG